GCTCGCGCACCGAGGGCTTCCCCCGGCCCCCCACACGTGCGTGCAGGGCGGCTGAGGTGGGTAACGAGCCTCTGTGAACTCCCCAAGGTCAGGCAGGAGAGACGGCATCCGCTAATCCAAGGTCGTTTCCTGGGCTAAAAGCAATAAAATGTTTTATTGATAAACTGAAGAGGGGAAAATACACACACTAAATCCACTCTCTCACCCGGTGGGCCCTTGCTGCCTCTGCCCGGGCCCTGCCCGGGTTGGTGCAGGGAGCAGCGGTGCCTGGGAAGGGGCCAGCATTCAGCTGCCTCCCCAGCAAACGGGGTCTCTCCAGGCGAGCTTGCGGCACAGCAGTTAAAAAAGAAAAGGACTGTGCAGCGCACGGGGCCTCCCTTCCTCCCCCTGCCCGCCCCAAATAATGCCGTTAATAATTAATCGAGTGAGAGCTTGCAGCTCCTGGAAAGCTGGCACTGGGACCTCCCTCCTGAACAGCGCTGCTCAGCTGGGCTTAAAACTCTTCAATAAGAATATGAAAGCTCCATCTGTTCGACGTGCCTGGCCCTCCGAGGCGGCGCTGCGCTGGGGCTCCCCAGGCAGCTCCCGCCGCGCGGGCCGGGGAGGCTCCCCCTGCGCCCTCCTCTCCCGCGGCCAGATCCCTGCTCCCCACGAGCGCTTCCCGGCCTGCCCCGGCCCAGGGACAGGGGTTTGCTCCTCGCCGCCTGCCCAGCCGGGCTGCCCCGCTCCGGGCGTGCGTGCGGGGGAGACAGCCCGGTTTGGGGATGCTCCTGGGGCGCGTGGGGCAGAGGGGCGGCAGCTGGGGGCTGTCGGGGCAGGGGACCAAGGTGGGTTTTGTTGCGCTCAGGCCTCGTCCCGGCGGGAGACTTCGGCCCGCACGATGCCAGGGGGCTTCGCCACAGAGGGGAGCGGGCGGCCGCGGCGCAGGGCCGGGCATTGTTTTGTGAGGAAGCGCTCCGGGTAAATAGAGCATGTGGGAGAGTTTGTCCTGGGCAGAGATGAAAAGTCCCTGTGACAGGCGCAGGTTATAAACGGCTTCCTCAGATTGATGTGAAATCAAAACATTTCTATTTAGAAGAAGAAAATGAAGGGGGATGTTTACTTAGCCAGGAATCTTTAAACAGTGCGGTGGAGACGCGGGGTGATCTGGGGTGGGAGCCGCGGGCTGGCTCCGAGGGTCCCTCTCTGCCGGTTGCGTTTCCCCGGTCCTTTGAAATCGTCAGGCCGAAAGGCAGAGCAGAACTTCTGTTTTAGTTCGTGTCCTTTCCATTTCGCCAGCGAGGAAATAAGGCACAGCGAGATAAAATGGTGTGTGCAGGCTCGCTGAGAGCTGCTTGGGAAGCTGGCGGGAGAAGCCAGGAGCTGTGATCCTGGGCACCCCAGGGCAAATCCCATCGCAGGAAGGTCCAGGCAGGTCTCTGGGAGGGATGGTTATATAGCTCGGGGCGAAGGTGAGTTTCAGTGTGTTGGCTGTATTTTTCTCTCCAAAAACTTTAGGAAAACAAGTTTTAAAATGCTGACAATCACAGCCGTGCTCACAAAAGCTCCAAGTGCAAGAGGAGGCCTCAGGGAAGGGCACAGGCTGGAGCAGAAGCTGTGCCAGGTGGAGGGGCAAAGCCAGGGGGTGGGAGAGGGAAAGGGGCAGGAGTGGAGGAAGAAGACAAGTTGCAGGCTCCGTGGAGCTGCTGCACACGCGGCAAGTGCAGCCTCGGGAACGTCTGTTCCCCTCTTCCTTTGGATAAATATTTATATATTCATTTGCCGTCTGGTGCACGCACTTGGCTGCTCACCTCCAGAGCGGAGGAACAGGAGCTGCTCGCCGCGCAGCGCCGCGGAGCTCACTGCGTGCGCTGAGCTCACTGCTCGGGCAGGCCCGGGCATCCCGAGAACTTGGACGGGAAAGGGGCCGGCAGCGCTCGGCAGAGCAGGGCCGGTGATTCCCTGCTGACCCAGTGCCCCCAGCACCGGCCACCTGCAGCCACCGGCGCTTTGCCGGCCCTTTGCTGGCCCTTCTCCCAGGCCTGCAGGCGTAACCTGCTGCCTCCTGGCCGCGCTCCAGCTGGAGGCACGGCAGCCTCCTGAGATTCCCTCGGCGTAGTTTCGAGCAGGCAGATCCTTCTGCAGCTCCGCGGGCCTCTGCCGGTGCCCGTCTGTATGTGTGAGGGCTGCGCTGGGGGGACGTGTGGACGGGGAGGCACCGTAGGGCTGTGGATCTGGGGGGGACGGGGTTTTTACACCATATGCGAATGACTACATTTATGGAGGTGCAAGTGCGCGGGCAGAGCTCTGGAAGAGCTGTAATTTCTGCATGGGGAGGTACGCGATCGGGGCAACGTGTGCTCTGTCTGCACGAAAGCCTGAGCGGGTGTGGGTGTTAGTACCAGAGGGGGTACGCGTTTGGAAAGCGTAGGAGTGCGTTTTGCCTCCCTTTGCGTGGGGGGCTGATATATTTGTCGGGGGGTTATTTTTCTTGCAGCCCTTGACAGGGAAGCGTGTCTGAAGCTGTCAGGAGTTTACGCTAAGCAGCCACTCTCTGGCTCTCGGACAGCAAGTCTAAAGTTTCAGGCTGTTTGTGTTGGGCTGTCATGTTACGGGATTAGGGGCTGTCACGATGGCTTCTGGATGCGTGGTAGGGGGTCTGATGAACCTTGCCGCACCTCCGCGCCGGGGACGGTGCGGGCCGGGCCGCTGCGCAGGACGCTCTGCCGGGCGCTCCTGCACCCAGGAGCCCGTTCTCGCCAGCCGAGGGCGGGAGCAGACGGGTTCCCCCGTGTTTCAGGGGATGTGAAGCCGGGAGCACGTGGCGGGGGCCGCTCCGGCAGCGTGCCCACGCCAACCGCAAGGGCTCCGTGCGGCCCCGGGCACACGCGCCGCTGGACACGGAGCCGTGACCCAGGATCTGCTCCTTGCTTTTGTTGGGGATTAAACCTTGTGAATTGCTGGTGCAGTAATTACGCCAGTGACTCTGCAACAGGGACCATTTAGTTCAAGACTCTCTGTGACCTTGAAGTTGAGACCTCACCTTCTTCCCTTCTCCCCCCACTTCTCTTACCCCTCCTTTACTAGCTGTCACATATGAATAAACTACATTAAAATAACAAACCCACACTAATTAGCTGATTGTGCTGGGAAGTGTGAGAGCAGAATTTCCTGTGTGAGAGCGAGCGCGCCAGCGGGCAAAGGGCCTGATCAACTGATACTAACCCAGCGCGGGGCTGCCTCCCAGTGCTCCCGGCCTTCCCGCTGGTTCCCCCTGGTTTCTCCCCTCGGAGATGGTGCCGAATGCCATTATGTGAACTCCTCACCTTCCTGGGGTGCAGCCGGGAGCTGCTTGCTCTGCTGCTCGGGGCCTCATCCCACAGGGGCCCTTAGGGACCGCTGAGATTCTGGCAGCTGCCAGCATGGCCAATGCCACCCGGGATTGAACAGGGGGACCCCAAAGCAGGTGGTGCCCAGTTCAGTCCCTGCATGAAAACGCGCTTCTCCCTTGAGGGCACAGCATCCCAGCGCCCCACACCGGGCTCTGCAGCTGGGGCTGCCCCCCAGGGCGTGGGAAACAGCGTTCCCGTCTTTCAGCCTGTAGCACCGGCTGTTTTAAGACCCGCTCAGTGGGGAACGGCCATTTTCTGCTTGGGTTCAAGTTGCCCGACCCGGCTAACGCCCTTCCTTGCTTCTCTCCCCTCTCTCTTCCCAGCTGAAAGAACTATATGCACTGACGCAACCTCAGGAAAACCCACGATGGCTGCCAAGCGCAAAGGCGGCCTGAAGCTGAACGCCATCTGTGCCAAGCTCAGCCGCCAGGTGGTCTTCGACCACGGGGGAGCCGAGCAGGCGCGCGTGGACAAGGGTCCCCAGCGGGAGAGCAGCAACAAGGACCTGCCGCAGCCCGGGACCAAGGAGCCAGGCGCCGAGTTTGCAGATGGGCTGGGCAGGAGCGTGCAGAAGATCGAGGAGGACAAGCGGAGGGAGGTGATCGAGAAGTGGGTGAATGGGGAATACGAGGAGCCCTCGCCAGGCCGTGCTGAGGGCAAGGAGGGCAAAGGCGCCGAGGGCGCGGAGCTGCCCCCCGAAGGGGTTTACATGGTGCAGCCCAAGGGCTGCAGCGACGAGGAGGACAACGGGGACGAAGCAGACGCCCTGCGGAGCTCGCAAGACGGCAGCTTCTTGGACGACCGGGACTCAGACGGGACGGCTGCCAAAGACGATGGCTACCGCGGTGCGGCCAGCGAGGCGGCCTCCAAGCTGGGCACAGCCTCAGGTAAGGCAGGTGGGGGGCACTCGACACCTTCCTGCAGCCCTAGGCCGCCTGCCTGGCACATATCCTCCCCCGGTTTGTAGTTGGGGTCAGTGGGGTAATGGCCGGGCCCCTCCCGGCCACCACGCGCAGCTTCTAGAAGGCGCAGGCGGGGGCGCGGGGGGGACCCGCCCCCACCGGGGCGTGGAACCCTGCTGGGCTCTGGGAGCGCCAGCCCTTGGGGGAAAGCAACATGCGGTGGCCTGGCTGCCAGGCCCGGCTCCACGTGGAGCCCAGTGGTGTGTGGCCTGCAGGCTCCACTGCCAAAGTGTGGAGACTCAGCCGCTGTGCCCTGCAGCTCCCTAGCACTTGTTGGTCAGCCTTAGCACTGGTATTCTTTGGGGTCAGTCAGCGTCCAGTGCTAGGTTTCTTACTCCTTCTGCTCATTTATCGCCCGGTTTGCATATTGATAGCAGGACCCCTTTTATGGTGTCAAGTCCGCAACTCACAGAGGTGCCCAACACTTAAGGCAGCCCTGTTCCTGCCCTGTGGGCATGGCTGCCCTTGCAGGTGAGGTGGAGGAGTGGCTCCTTAACCACAATGCTGTCCTCGGTGAAGGGCTTGGTGGGGATGCATCCTTCCACACTGCCTATAGAGTTAATGCCCAGTGAGTGCAGGATCTTGCTAGGCAAAGCTGTTAATTATGAAATTTGCATGTTCCTCACAGCTTTTGTATTGGATGCTAGTTTGTGTGCATTTGCAAGGTGTTTTCCCCCAGGCTGTGTGTGCGTTTCTTACTTTGACAGAGCTTCTACCTTATTTCTGTGGTTCTTTCAAAAGCTGAGTTCAGCAAGAGGTGTTGGGGAAAGCCCAGGCTGACTTTCTTCCTCACTTTCTGATACCCACATCCTTCCAGACTGATATTCTGAGGTCTGTACGAGTACTAAGCCTTGATAAAAGCTTGGGATGGATTGTGTTTTACCAGGGCAGAGCAACTCAACTCCCCCTGATTTGTTATGCGGTTGGTTTGGATTTGTGATAGAAAGATCTGCCCCTAAGCTGTTCCACCTGCACACCCCCCTTCCTGGACCTCCGCACTTTGCAAATCCATCAAACTTTCCTCCTTTTGTGTGTGTGTGTTTTTTCCTCCTCCTGTTAATAATGCAGCCAGAACTCATCTCTGTCTGTCCGTTTGCCTTCTGGAGAGGCACATTCTCCAGTCTTCACGAGTTCAGTGGCAGCGCACATAATTATGCATATAAGATATAAACAGAGCTGTTTAATTATCCTTCGCCACATCAGTGACAGAGTAATTAACAAACATTGCAAGATCAATGAGGAAAAGTGTGACCTTCAGTTTCCTTTGATAGGAAAGCCCTTGTCGTTCCCAGACACAAGGTGATTGTGCCTGGACTCAGTTTTTAGTTTGTTTTAATTGCCCTTCCCCCTCATTTGCACTTTTACTTGCAAGGAAGCTAAAAGGAGGGGAACCTAGAAGGTAAAAACAGGTTGCCAACCTGCGGAAAATAAAAAGGAACAGTGGTTTCCCTTTGAGGAAGGAGTTCTCACTAAAATGTGTTTTAGGGCTGTATAGTCAGGATTGTACAAAAACGTATAATGTTCATGGGGGCTGGAGGCTCATTTATGTACAAAGCAGTAGTACATACATGGTCCAGTTCACACATGTGACCACGTGGGATTAGACTTGCAAACGGAGGTCCTGTCAGGTCTTGAGCTTGTATTTGAAGAGCCCTCTTGTAAATGTTCATAACATTTTCCTGGAAAGCACAAAGTGAAACATAGCTTGCTTTGGAAAGGATGAGGATCTTTCTCTGTTCTTAAGGCAGTGTTCCAGAAAATAGACTTTAAGCTGCCCCTCACTGAGTCCCCTCAGAGGTGTTACTGGCTGCAAGTTAAAGTAATCCAGTGAGATGTGCAACTGCCTACAGCAAAGGGAGTTTTTTTCCTGTGACTAGGGGCTGGAGGGGGGGGAATGTAGCAGCAGGCAGGCGGATCCAATCAGAGAAATACAGCTCTTCCCATCTAGATAATGGGGCTTCAGGTAAGTTGTTGCAGGAATCTGGTTTTGAAGGTGCTGAGTGCCCGTTGTGCTCTCAGAAGACACAGAGCCGTGAGTACTCAACAGCATTTAAAACTGGGCCTGTACTTCTTTCATTGCCTGAAAACCTGGGCTAAAAAGCAGGAACCATACAGAAAAATAGATGTTGCATCTAGCAGAGCTTTGTAGGTCAGTGAGGAGAGTGATCCTAATTATATGGGCTGCTGCTTCCCAGAGTCCCAGTATGTACACAGACAACCTGCTTTATTGGACTTCTCCAGCTACTGTTCCTGCCTTTCAGTAGCACTTACTGCAGTCTAGTGCCAAGTCCCTGCCACTTCTGTTTCTTTCTGGGGTCAAAGAACAGGGAGGGTTGTTGTGCATCGCACAGGAGTCTGCCGAGGCTTGTTCTGTGCTGTTCAATCCTGGCACTTTGAAACAAGATGCTTCTGTCACCGTGGGGAATATGAGTGTCTGGGGTCCCTGATTCTCCTTTTGACCCTCTTCTCTGTGTGGGGTGCCGCAGGGCTCTGCAGAAATACTGCCTTGTGTGTCTCCCTCTCCATAGCAGCTAGGGAACATGTTCAGGAGCCACAAAGCTTGTGTCCATCAAGAGGCAGGTGTCAGATTGTGTTTTGGACATGCAGATACGTTTCCTCATTCATTCACTCACTCACCGACCCATACTTCTCTATACACATTTATATATAGCTTTCAGATTTCCCAGTACAGTCTGTGACAGATCCCTTTTTACAGTCTTTCACTGACGCACAAAATACCCAGGAAGATTTTCCTATACAAACCTGTGTTCTTTACTCTGCCATTTACTTACACAGAGAGCTAAAGCAGGCTCCAGCTTTCCCATGTACAAGCTTTCAAAGTTCGTACTATTCTTTCCCTGTTGGCTAAGTCACTCAGAAACTGAGTGTTAGTGCTGTTCTCAACAAGGATTTTTTTCCCCTCCTGATTTCCTGGGGAGAGTCCTGCACTTGGGAAGATATGTGCAAAGAGTGCAACTTTCATGCTTGTTATCCTGTATCCCCCACATTTACATGTTTCCCCTCCCAAGCAAAATAAAGGAGAGGGCCCTGCCTGGGTTGCCCCATCCCCCAGGATCCAGACCTTACACTCCATTTGGGCTGTTTTGCTTTTCCTTCCATATATAGTGTGCTGCTGCGGGCTATTTTTAGCCCCTTTTTTGCTAGCTCCGGATCCTTTGTGATATGATAGCTGCTCTGAGACACACAGATCTCTGCTCTTTGGCAATGCCCACAAATGGAGACTAGCAGCAAGGGGAGAGGGAGCCCTTTTGTTATCACGCAGAAGAGAGAAAAATGTCATGCGGGAGGGGAGAGAGGAGGGAGAAGACCCAGTGCCAGCAGTTCCCGGGGCTGTAGATGAGCAGAAATCCAGGGCCACACACTTATTTTTCAGGATTTGTTTCCTGACTGCTGTCCTGCTTCATTTCTGCGCACACAGCCTGTGTGTAGATGTTGGTGGGGGGGCAGTTCTGTGTTGGCTAGATAGTAATAATGGCATGTTCGTAGTTGTTCCAAAGTGATCAGGAGATGAATTGGCTGCATCTCATACCATCTTTGTGCTGAGAGAGGTCTCTGCCCCAGGTGCCTCTCCTAGAATTACCTCTGGTCTTTTGGTTAGCTACCTGTGCTGGTAAGTGAAGGTTGTGCTGGCTGTAGAGCGGTCCTTTGCCGCAGCACTGAAGGTGGTGTGACCACCCAGTGCCAAACTGAGCAAAAGAAAAGCAGAATGCAAGCTGTCATTAAGGATGAGGGGGCAAATCCACACATCCAGGGAAATGAGACTTTAGCTCAGCCCGAGACTTTGTCAAAGCACAGAAATGCCCTGAAGACCACCCCTTTCCTATGGCCTTGGCTTTTGCATCTGATTGCTTGTACCAGTACAAATGGGGTGGGTACTAAAGCACAGGTATGCTGATGAGGGAGATTAAAAAGGAGCTGGTTTCCTATGGTCTTCTATAATGTTTTCTTTTACCTGGTATTACAGGGAAATTCCAGATTTGTTTGAATTCCCTCTCTGGTTTTGTAATGTCTGTGGGGCCTGAACCAAGCCAGAATTTCTAAAATTAGTTTTAAATGTAGGATTGAGAAAGAGGGTCTCTGTGTGCTGGGTTCTGTGTGCTGCAGGTTAGAAAGTAGAAGGAAAGGGCCTGGCTAGTTTTCAGGGTGGCTGCTAAAAGCAGCAAAAATCACACTTGATAGTTCTAATTTCCCTTCAGATCCGCTTGCGATAGTCTTCCCCCTCATAGTTTGGCCTAAGTTGACTAGGGTTTTTTTCAGTGCGATGCTGGGAAGTCAGATTTTGTGAGAGAGCCTGGGGGATTGGTTCAGAGGCCCAGAGGATGAATGGAGAACATGGAAGACAGATAGAGCAGAAACAGGGAAATCCTACCCAACCGGGACTTCACTTTTGTGCGGCGATAGGGTTACACCAAAATGAAGGTGGAAGAGAGAAAGGAGGCAGAAAACAGGATTTCTGATCTGTGAACCCAGCTACACTGCTGAGGTCAGAATATGACCCTGATGGTCTTGAAGGTTTCTGAAGCCTGTGGCGGGCAGTGTCTTCATACAGTCCTGCAAAACAGGATTGTGGAAGTTGATGGCTAATGAACTAGGACTCAGCTCACTGAGTAGAACTTGCGTGCACAGCAGTGCACTTGTGTGTGTGTGTGTATGTGTGCACGCACCTCTGTGTATAACAGCACCATGGGCTGTCAGAACCCCAAGTTCTAGGGGTCCACTTCAGTGCTTTGGATCCTTTGAGCTGTTCTGTGGCTGTATCTTGATTCCTTTCTTTTCTGCCGTGTTTTGTGGCAGTGCTGATTTTTCAGCTCTGCGCCCAGTGCCTGGAAGCCCCATCGTGCTGTCAGTGTACCTGCCTGCATTGGCACTCTCTTTGTGAAAGTGGGTGCTTGCCCAGAAGAGCTAGAGTGAGTGATTGGAAAAGATGACGAGGGAGGTTTGAAGGACTCCTGCACACAGTAAATCTTTACTCTGCAGGAGAAAGCAAGAGGGAGAGGAGGAGGAGGAGGAGGAACGCTGTGTCAGACTGAAGCCTGAATGAGTCCAAGCTGGCACATCAGAGCAATCTTTATTTCCTCCTTTACAGTGATATTGGGTGACCTCCAGAAGTATGTTCTTCCCCTCCTCGTGGCTGGTGAAGCTGCCTGAAAGAGTGGGGGAGGGAAGGAGAGACCCAAAGAAGGGCAGGTTTTTGCTTGTACTCCTTCACTGTGATCTCCTCCAGATAGACCAGCCCTTCCCGCTCCTTCCCCAAGTTGTGTTCTGGGGAAGGGGCCATGTTGCCTCACCTCAGGAGGACAGCTTTTTCTGTGCTTGGTTGAAATCGTGATGGAGAGAAGTCTGGACCTTAACCAGTTTACACCTGCTTTTTCCTCTCCTGTTGTTACTGGTAGCCATTCTGGCTGTCTAGGACATTGGCAGTGGGTGTCCCCTATCTTCCCAGAACTCTTGCCCCTTTTCACACAGAGCCTAGTACTTTCCAGCTGTTGGAATTAAGGAGGAAAAGAGCAAGATGTTTGAAATCTTACAAAACTGATGGGGAGGCGAAGGACTGGAGCAGATATGGAGAACTACCCTGTTACTCTTCTGCCTTCTCATCTCTGCTCCTTCTCCCACTCCTCACCACCATACTTCTCATACATACCTGTATGAGAAGCCCTTGCAGCTCTCCCCACTTATCCATCTCCACCTCTGTCGCTTTCCCTTCTCTGTACTTTTTCTTTCTGCCCTCCTTCCATGCATAGCGTTGCCCTCTCTCTCAGCTCTTTCATGCTCCCCTTCCTGCTTTCACTCCTGCTACTCACCCGCACAAACACCTGCTAAGCTGTTACCCCTTAAACACACAGACACACTGTACTCCATCCTGCAGGCACCCCCTTTCATATAAAAAAGCACACAAGGACAGAACTGCGCAAACCTCGACGTATTGGTGCTGGTCTCACTTCCAGTAAAATTACTTTTTCTTCATATTAGGCCAAGGCAAGAGTGCAGAGACATTTATGAAACTTTGTTTAATGTACTGAAAAGCCATCGGCTAGAACATTTAGGAAATTGATTTTCCTGGCATTGATGAACTCTTTTTATTTTACCCCAGTATTAATTACTTTTTTTTTTTTTAAACAAATTAATTTAAGAGTCGTAAAACCTAACAAGTGAGCCAAACGTCAGTAGATCATGTTCCCCTTTCCCCCTACTCCCCCCTCCCCACTACCAGTGCTGTTATGGGAGGAGAAGAAATATCAACCCCTTGCATAATTCCCTCACTCTGGCTCTCTGTAGGGGAAGCTTCATCGCTGCGGGATTATGCCGCTACCACCATGAATGAATTCCTGGGCATGTTCGGCTATGATGATCAGAACATGCGGGATGAGCTGGCCCGCAAGATCAGCTTCGACAAGCTGAATGCTGCTACCTCAGAGGTCACTGCAACTGCTGCCTCCCTTCCTGGTGAGGATGCCATGAGCAAACGAGCCCGCTTCTCCAAATACGAGGAATACATCCGCAAACTCAAAGCTGGAGAGCAGCTTTCTTGGCCTATGCACTTGGCCAAATCTGAAGAGTTGGGCTCCAAGCTGGGCAAAGAGGCTTCCTCAGTGCTGGGACAGCCCATCCGTGTGCAAGGTCCAGATGCTTCCCTACTGACGGAGACCAAAGCCACCATCCTGCCTCTGCCCTCTCCTAGCAGTTCCCAGATGCAGGGCCTGATGTCACGGGCCTCCAAGTACGACTTCTTCATTCAGAAGCTGAAGACAGGTGAGAGCATCAGGCCACAAAATGGCAACACTTACAAGAAGGCCTCCAAGTACGACCTAGAGAACGTCAAGTACTTGCACCTTTTCAAGCCTGGAGAAGGAAGCCCAGATATGGGAGGAGCCATTGCCTTCAAGACAGGCAAAGTTGGCCGTCCTTCCAAGTATGATGTAAGAAACATCCAGAAGCTCACTCCAGTAAAGGCTCCAACACCCAGCCTGACCCCTGCTTCACTTGTCAGTACCCCTAGCAGTGCTTCTGTGGCCGGGCCAGAGCAGTCCGTCTCATTGCCGTTCAACACTCCAGAGTACCTGAAATCAACATTCTCCAAGACAGACTCCATCACAACTGGAACTGTCTCCACAGTGAAGTAAGTGTCCTCCCATATTTTTTCCTTTGTATTTGTGGGGGAACATACCTGTGGCCTATGGGTGGATCTGTGGGACATGATAGTTGCTGTGCTGATGAATAATGATGAATGGTGTGCTGGTAATTTGGTATTTTCTTTGGATCTCTCTTGGAGTGGCTGGTCATCTGCTACATCTTACAGCTATTTGTCTTGAACTGAGGATTGGACTGTGATCAGTAGTCACAACCATGAATGAGAGCCCACTGGCTGAAAGGATAGCTAGAGGGCTGTGGTGCTGTCAGTGTTCTGAGGTCAAGATCATAACTACTTCGCTTCCTCCTGTTCCAGTTCCCCATCATCCTGCTTTGTTTGCTTTCATTTAACACAGTGGCAAAACTCGCATTGGCTTCCTTTTAGAAGCATGGGGCCTTGTGTTTGCATTAGGTTTTGTCCCAGAATTCTGAAGACATTTAGGTGACTAATTCCCAACCTCAAATTTGCCAGCCTTGGATTGTTTTTACAGGGGCTTCAAGGTGGTAGCTGTAGAAAAGCTACATGTGCACATGTGAGGGGCATGATCACCATATGGTGTTGTAGAGACTAGGCATGAGAGTGTTTATATGCCAAGGTGCGATGAGAATGCAGGGTCTCATGGGCTATTTCTGTCATGAAACTTTGCTGCTGCATAGGAAAGGGTCAAGTTACTGTTTTAATAGTCTTTATCAGTATTAGGCCTTAGAAAGAGGAAGGTGGGGAGCTACCTGCTTTTTTGACGTGGCCTGGATTTGCTCATTTCTCACTGCGGACCTAGCTGTTGTTAGCCATGAATCCCTTGGAGTCATTCGAGGAAGGTCCAGGACCTCTGGCCTGCACCTCTGCAGCAAATGCTGTCACATTTTTCTATTTGGTAAGGAGGAGGGCTGTCTTCTGGCTAATACCTGGATTTAGAAGGACTTTGGTTGCATCTCACTTGGATGCTGTAGGCAGTCTTGGTCAAGTCTCTGTCCGTCATTGTTGCCTGTTTGCCCACCTGGAAGGCAGAGCTGATGACGCCTGTCTTCCATATGAGAGTCATTTCCCAACTGCCTGCAGACAGATTAGGCCATTTCTGTGATTGGGGCACATGTGAAGGAGTTGAGGACTGTTAGCATTCACATGTGGCCCCCTCTCAGCATGAACACTCTGGGCACTCCAGATGGCAGGCGGGGGCTGCAGTTACTCCAAAGCACTTTGCTGTATATACCACTGCAGGCCTTACTGCCATGGGTCAGTAGATCAGTGGCTCTGCCCTTGAATTGTCTCCAGGACTTTGAGCTGCCTGGTGTTCAGTGGCTGTCCTGGAGCTGCCATGAAGCCTCTTCTGACCTACTTTAATGTTGCATTGGGATCCTAGTTGGATTTCCTTTTTCTTTCTCATTTCTTTCCACTTGCAAATGTGGATTTGCAGCACAGTGGTAATCTCTTGTCTAGCTACGCAACTTCCTCAGCTAGGAAGGGCTGGAGGGGATGTGCAGCAGGAGTGGTGGTGACCTGGTACTTCAGCCTGGTAGCTCCCAGTGTCCTAATGACATATGGAGCACAGAATGGCCTCCCATTCCTTCTCATTGGAGCTGCTTACTAGGAACACGCTCCCTTGCGAAAAGAAGCAGCCTACCATGCTGGTGGAGGAAGTGCTGACTATATTACCAGGATCTTGCTTTCCATTGACAGTCTACATTAAGATCTCTAGGGAAGCAGGAGCGGAATTGGAAATCCCACATACAGCCTATTTCAGATTGTGTCAGTGTGCCACTGGGTCTTGGGTGGGCTGGAGCCTGGACCAGTATCTTTTTTTAATATGTTGTTCAATTCTGCAAGGACGTAGTTTCAGTGGTGGTCTTAACAATTCTGTGTAACCCAAGCTGATGCAACCAATGAGTGTACGTGGGTTGGTTTTCAGTGATCTAAATGCATAGATGCCTTTGTAACATCATGTGTGTTTTGGAGTTGGAATAACTGTGTGGAAAAAAAACAAGCAGTTAAAGCCCATTTAGCCTACGGCTGTGTTGCTGGGACCAGGTAACAGATACAACGTGCCTGCTGGTGATAGGAAATGAGCAAAAACTACCAGCATCTCTGAACCATGAAGACTCTTCTCCCTGAGTTGAGCCTAGGGTAGATACCTCTTGATGGCCCTTCCATGTAAATAAGGGCAGTATTGCAAGGTGGTTCAGGGAGATCTTTGTTTTCTTGTAGCCATCACTTGTTTGTATCTCAGTAACTAGTTTTATCTGCAGGATTGTGTTTTAGTGGTTGGTCTTCTCAATGCTTCAACAAAGTGATCAAGTCCTGCAGAAGCAGAACTTGCAGGAAGGGTGATGAGGGACTATGTAGATCCCTAGGAAGAGCAGGTGTGGAACCTGAAGGGTAATGGGGAGGGGAGGATAAACCACTGGGTGTCATTGCTGTCTACTCTTCCTAGACCCTGCTGTCCTGAGAAAGAAGGAGATGGGGTTATGCCCTGTGACTTCCTGCTAACCAGTTCTGCCCTGTGTCTTTCTCATTAGGAATGGATTACCCACTGACAAACCAGCTGTCAGCGAAGATGTAAATATTTACCAGAAATATATTGCCAGGTAGGCAAATCCCTTGGCTTCTTGGGGGAGGGCTGGAGGGAGGAAGCAGGGTGGTGAGGTGATGGGAGAGGTGTTGCCTCTTTGGACTGAGTGTATAATTCAGTCGTGGGCACTTTCACTTTTCTCTGACATCTGTAATTGCTCTCTTCCCCTGCTAGGGAGAGCAGTAGCTGTGAGAGGTGTTCAGCCACGCCGAGAGCACACTCTGCTCTCTGGAGCTGTTAGACTTTGCAGCAAACAGTGGAGAAATGCTTCCCTGCAGAAGCCTAGGCTGTAAATGGGTTCTTAGTCTTCTAACTGTGATTCTTGGTCTCCATTGCTCTGCTGTCTTCAGCCTTTATTCCCTGCCATGTTCAACGCCTATTGGAGGCAAGCAGAAAATATGAGAATATCTGAGAACCTAGGTTGGGAAAGATTCACACATCATTTGAGTTTAAGCAGGTCTCAGCATCAGTGTCTTAGAATATTTTGCAGCTCCTTTATATGAGAAGCAGTCACTGAGGAAGGTACAGATGAGGGCACATTAGCAGAGCTCTGGACAAGCTCAGGTTAGGAATGAGTGACACCGGGAGAGTTGCACAGGTTGCCCACAGCTGGAGTAGTTGAGGGGTGGTGGGACAGAATAAATAATGTCACTAGAGCTAAAGGGACAGAAGAGATCCTTGCATTAACACCTGCCTGTTTAGTGGCTCACCATGTAAAGGGTCATCAGCTTCTGTTGGTGGCTGCGTGAATGCTTCATTCAATGCTTTCATGGGGAAGCTAAATATGAAAGCCCCTTGTACAGAGAAAGACACCCACCAGGGGAAGCAAAGAAACCTTTTCTCCAGAGATAAAATTGACAGGTTTATTCCCTCTAGCACTTGGGCACGTAACAACAAAAGGGAGGAGTGTATGTAATGTGCTTTCCCACCTTACCAAAATCTATAGAGGCTCCCTGTGGGAGGGAGTCAGCTGGGTTATACTGCTAGGAAAGAGGAAGATACTACTAGGATTAGCAGGGGGGGAGGATGAGGACAGTGTTCTCTCTGGCTAGAGAGAGGAAAGAGAGAACGTGATATTCACGTCCATCCTTTTGCCCAAATCTGTGCTGTAGCAGAGGGAGGGAGAAGATAAAACCATGTGTGAAGGAAGGACAGCTGCACCAGCACATTCAAGGCCTCTAGTCCACGTAGAGATGCCTTTGATGCTTGGAGTAACTCACCTACTTGTGGGACAGTATGGGAAGGGAAGCAAGGGTTTGGGTCTACCTGTGGGGCAGAAGGAACAACACCCTTCCATTACTGAGATAGAGAACTTAGTTTTGCTCTGCTGAATGTCACTCCTCTATTTTGAGTCACTCTGTGCCACAGGAGATATCAAGGAGGCACTAAGAATCTGCAGGCTTCTGCTCTTGGCTGCGCACTGTAGAGATCAGAGTGATTGCAAAGAGAGAGGAGATCCCACTCTTTCTGTCCGTGGTTCCTGACTCAAGCAGAAAACTGTATAAACACTACACCCACATCCACTCTTTGTAGTGCTCTGCAAGCCCCTTCCCCTGGGTCAGGCAGGTAACTGAGGGAGGCTTGTGAGATAGCTAAAGGACACCACATCCTGCTTAAAAAGCTCCGCAAGCCGTTTGTTGGCAGCACAGCCACTTCCCTTCAATTTACACACAGTTTTAAAAACAGTTTAAAGCCTTAAAATCAAGGAGGGGGAGAGAGACACGACACTGTATGTCTGTACTGCATAATTAGCTTAATGAGTTTGCCAAAGCCACTGCCAAAAGCTGCCCAGGGATAATCCATTCTCTCGTACAACAAAACAAAACCTCTTACTTAGCTAGTTTGGGTTGGGTTGTTGTTGTGTTTTTTTTTCCTGTGTATATTTATAATTAAAAAAAAAGACCACAGAAAAAAAATATTATTATTATTATTATTAGTGCCTCAGCAGATGGTGCTTCTGGCAGCCCTTGCTTAAATATTTATTTCTGTGTGGGTTTCCTCCCCCCTTGTAATTGGGGTGGGTTTTTTTTCTTCCTTCTTTCACATCATCGTTACAGGGTAATGAGTCTGTAAACACTCACTAAGTATGCTAACTTTATTTATTTTTTCATTATTATTTATTTATCTTGGTTTTTCTTGCTAACTCTTGCCAGATCAGAACTAGTTCTTTCTGAAATAAAAAAAAAAAATGTGAACAGATTAAAGTAAGGGAAGGGAGTGGGTTGTACTTGTGAAAATGAGTCTGTGTGCCTCTATGCACAACTTAGGGGTTTGGATTTGCATGTCAGTGTGAGGAAATGGTCTGTGAACTTGTGATCAGGTGTGTGTGTGTTTGTGCCTGTTCATGTACATGGAAATTGTGGGTACATTCATGTAAATTAATAGGGGTGTTGATGTACATTACTGTATGTGCAGTGAATGCGTGCGTGTGTATGTGTGTAAGTGTGTGATGTGTAAGCTTTCCTGTTATGAAAAAGCTAAACAGATGCTGTGCTTTAAAAATTAATAGCTTTGAACTGTTTCAAGTGTCAGAAGAAACACAGGATATATATAACCCTTTAGGAGCCTTACCTTCAAGACTGAAAAAGCAGAAATTTCTTTCTGCTCTTCGCTGCTCTCCTCCTTCTCCGAGCACCTTGCACTGTAGAAAGTTCCCTTCTCACCTTGCAGGTGCCGCACGCACGCACTGTCCTGTGGCAGGTAGAAGGAGGGCCTGTTTAGCTTTGCTTCTAAAGCAGAGGCTTTGAGTTACTTTTGTTAGGAGGCTTCACAGAAGCCGTGCTATACAGAATTCTTCTCTTAACTGCAGTTGGCATCTCTGGTCTTTGTGTCCTTGACTTAGACAGTCTTGCGGACAGATTTGCTTGAAAAGAGTCTGTGTATTGGCAAGGCTGTTTCCTTCCTCTCAACTCTGCTTGACCTGCATTCCCCGGTTCTCTAGCCTTGTTTCTTGCTACCCTTCTCTCTCTTATCTCCATCTCATTAATGGAATGGGGAGGCAGCTTACTACAGCACTCCTTTGGTCCTTTGAAGGTACTGGTGGTGCTACTGCCAAAAAAGTCTTGGTCTAGGTGGACGAGATTTCAAGTTGAACCCAGTTCATTCAATCTATTGCCAAGCCAGTGTTCCTGGTTAGTGTCCATAGTGGCTGCTACCCGTGCCCTGTCGTGGCCTCGCTCTTGCCCCAACGTTGAGCTGGCACTGCTTTCTCTGCTTTCAGTTCCACACCTTTGTTTGTGCAGCCAGCATTGCTGTTTGCCTTGTGGTTTGTTTCTTCTCCACTGCTGAGGTTTGTTCCAGTTTCTCAATCACCTGTTCTGGCGTGATCCTGATTTCCTGCAGTATTTCTTCTCCTTCCCCAGGGAAAGGCATGTCTGCTTCTGGCATCTGTCCCCATCTCCCTTTGTGAATGCTGAGGCAAAGAAGGCATTTAATTTTTTAGCAATGTCTATCTTTTCTGTCAATTAAGTCCCCTTTCCATCTCCTGAAGGCCCTGCTGTCTCCACAATTGACCTCCTCTTCTCTATTGTGCTTCAGAAATGCCTTATTTAGTACTGCTTTTCATCCTGCTACTCTTTTCTTTTAAACCGTTATCTCATATTATGATAGTTGAAAATCTTCCCCACTGCCACCCCATTCCTCGATTGTCCCATGAAACCCCTGCTCTTTTCTCCTTTTCATTTTCCCCTGTTGCCCTTCTTTGTTTCTTCCTGATGCCCTTTATCATATGCACTCCTGGTGTGTTTAGCACTAAGTGACGTGAGGAACCTTTAAGCAGATGGTAATTTATCTTGGAATGTTTCCCCTCTGAGTCCCCTTCTCTCCACCGCTGTTCCATTTCAAGCTCTTCAGCTCTTCCAGGTTCCCTTACAATATACACCAGAGAGTTCATCACACTGATTGGCTTGTTTTTGGATCATCTCCTTTTGCCAATTACTGATCTGTCTATGAATCAGTCTACTCTGTATGTCTGTCTGCCTTCAGTATGTAGGTAGTACGTGGCCTTTCTTTCTTAACCTCATTCTCTCCCTGCATGTGATGAGTTCCCAAAGTTGTTGTAAGAAACACGCAGTGGTCTGCAGAAATGGCTTGATTGCGTTTTGCTGGCTGCTGCTTCTTGTGTTCTAGTGCTAATTACTCTTAAAGGCAGTCTGAAGAATCTCACGTGATTGCCTTTCACTATTTCTTATCGTTAGCAAATACTGCATGTGCCACATGGAAAATAAGGATTAGCAGGGTCGGACAGTGCTGTTCTGCATGGGAAAAGAGCAGCACACGGGACAGCTTCATCTGGCTAGATGGTTTGCCTGCAACACTACATTCTGTTCCCCTTGATCCATCTCTAATAGCTTCCTGTTAATCTGGACAACCTATTGAAAATCCCTCTGTAATCTTTCTGTGGTGTTCCATCATCCTGGCAGTTTACCATCTAACCCACTGGTTTGCAACATTTTCTGTAGCCTGACACCTAGTTATAGCAAACAGAAGTCTTGGGACATCACTCATACAAATAAGTGAATGTCTGAGCTTTTCTGAGGCCCTGCTAGGTGTGCATATGTCTAGAAGTGAGAAGCCATATTTACCAATCCTTGTCTCCGTATGGCATGGGAGATCTCTGAAACTCACTGCTTTGGCATCCAAACTCACAAATGAGATTTTTGGTGTGTTGTACAACATTTGCCTTAAGGAACCCTAATTTCTTACTCCTTTCCAAATAGGCAACTTAGAGCATTTTGTTCTTTTTCCCTTCCTTATCTGCAGTGATCTTCAGCCATTCTTCTTGGGAGTCTGCAGCTGGCCCATCATACCCTTTATGGTACCCACCCTCACACCTTATCCCTTTCACCCTGAATACACTGCTGTTTCCACAGGGAACCCCCAGGTCACAGGGAGAATTCCCACATCTTAATTGCTTGAAAGCTGATCTGGAATTTTAATGGGATATCTCCCATTTAATTCTTACTGATATTTTCCTTAGTGCTATGGTCTAATTTCCAGGGTGCTGCTTTTGGGGAGAACAACTGAAAGAACACTCAGCCATGTTTGTGCTGCTGTAGAAACCCCACTTAGTTGAAACACAAATCCAGCCTGTTACCACTTGCACCTCCCCTCCGCTCTGCTGGAACAAGTGGACTTTGCTGTCCTTTTGCTTTTTGGTCTGGAGGAGCTGAGAGCGACATACTTATCTGCAACTTAATCTGCTGCCTGCAGGCCCCTTTCACTTCACTTTCTCCAGACCCCTTATTAGTTTGGATATTTGGCTGAATAAGCAGTGGCACCGTTTCACATCTGTTCCAAGAACAGCCTCATTAGCTTTTTGCCTGAGATCATTTGGGTAGGAAGAGGCTCATGGAAAATGAGTAAGTGGAATGTGGTGAAATGCAAAGGCGATCTGATGTTCTGCCATTTCTTGGAAGAAAAGATTATGTCATTTTTTTACCCACTTTACCTAAAGCTCATCAAGTCCAGAAGGTGATCCAAGGAGATTAAATTTATATATTTTTATATATATATATGTATATATATATCTCACAATTTTGGGATATAAAGTTTTGAGGGGTCTTGCTGAACTTCTTTATTTTTCAGCGCTGAAAACCACTTTCAAGCTAGTGACAGAAGAGAAAAGGAAGGTGGGAAGGTCACCATGCTTGGAGGTGATAAGGAGATGGAGTCAGATGAAAGCAAGAGTCAGACTTACTATATTTGTACCTTGCTTACAGGCACTACTGTCATGAGACTGGTTAATTCTCTCTTGCTTTCTTCTCATGCTCACAGGTTCTCTGGCAGTCAGCACTGTGGACATATACACTGTGCGTACCAGTATCGAGAACATTACCACTGCCTCGACCCGGAGTGCAACTACCAGGTAAAACAGTGGTGCAAAGGTGCCAGCAGAGCTGCTTGAATTTAAAGGGGTAAAACCTAGGGAACATTTGGGACTCCCTATGCTTTATTCCAGTATACATGCACATGCCTCTTCACTTTTTTGCTCAGAAAGAGAGCAAGATATATTTTGAAACTGTTGGTAAACTCAGAGTAAAATAGAATTACAAATCTAACATCGTTCAACTCAACTACTGTACTGACCGCTGTAACTAAAAGCAGAATACAGATCAGCAGAGCTCAATGAATTTATTCCAGTTTTACATTAGTGAAACCAAAAAAGTAAATTCTACTATGTTACAAACTGTGTCTCAAAATAGGAAAGGGTGATCTGTTAGCCTCTTTCTCTCCAGTTTGTCCAAGTGACGATGCAGCAACAGTAGCTGCAACAAAACACCCAATAAGACCTGCAGTCCTGTGGAGAGCGTGGGGGTAGGAGCATGTACGATGCTGTAGTTACTGGGAGAATTGCCAGGGAAACGACGTCAAGCCAGCTCTGAGTCACGTGCTGTGTTTGTTTACCCTCTTCTCGGCTCTGAGAGCTCCACTGTGCCATTTCTGTGGTCAGGCCGTGTGTGGAGGGGGGAATCCCAGAGTTTGCCACTACTGTGCATCAGACACAACTTCTGCCCTACCCCAGGAGACCTTTTGGTCTCAGGGGAATGAGTCTGACCACAGCGTGGGAAGTTGATCTGGCTCCGCTGAGCTTGACTGTGGGTTTTTATTGATCATAGGAGTTTTTATTCTCTGGGATGCTTGTAGTGATCCTTCTGGCCCAGCGTTTGGTAATCGAGATGCACCTGTCCCAACTGTGACACAGATACTTGTGCATCGGCAGAGAAACACAAAGGAGAGAAAGACATAAAAAATTATTATGATTGGCTTCATGATTATTTCCTGAGGAGTCTGGAAGCTGCTTGCAGAGGAGCTCTCTGGTCTCACAGGGAATAAGGATTTAGGCTGCTTTTTAAGATGCAAATTATTTTATGGCTGAGATATATTTTATAATAAGTAACGCTCTGTAATAAGTGGGCACAAATTAACAATGATTGGCAATAGCAATCCTCTGCATACACCTTGGGAAATCATACCTCCCACCTCCAAGGGATTCCTATTGAAATCTATATCCATATATTCCCATGCCAATACCAATGGGATTGATCAGGATTGGTATTATAGGAGGAAAGAGGGGAAGCGATAATCGTTTGTTTCCTATGAGAGAGACTGGAAAAGTTGTTAAACATTAGAATACAGACCTTTTCAATTACTCCTCAAAATAAATGGATATTGATTTCTTTAAAAAAAATCAGATTTACTTTCCCACCTTCACTGTTAAGTATTGATGTCTGTGGGAAATGGAAATGAAAAGCTTCATTTTTAAAGGCACTTAGCCTTCTCTGAGAGTGGGGTACCCCTTACTAGTTCATGCAGATGGAAGGATGAAAGAGATGTTTGATCATACAACTTTCTAGTTGTATGCTCTACTTACTCCAAGCTTTTTCTATGACTAGAAGAAAGTTTCGTGTCTCTGTTGTCCCAATAAAGCCATTCTACCTTCAAGGGGTGGCATGAGACTTAAAACCAATGGTGTAATGCTATAAAAGAGCAGAATGTTTTTTCAAGTCTTTAGTCTGACACGAGTGTGGCAGCCAGTGTCTTGCTAACCGCAAGAGTGATTGATTTGGAAGCTTGGATTACTCTCTTGCAAGCTGTTTAGTTCACTGGTTTCCTTTCTAACTATAGCAGTTCTTGAGATAGTAGCAGCCAAAATTATGTTAGAAGAATTGCACTCTTAAGACTGCAAGGAGCATGTCCTGGACATCGCACTACTGTTGTTTTACTCTACTCAAACTTCTTATTTGCGTATACTTTCCCATTACCAAAAAAAATACATGCACACAATTTGTCTTTAATTTCTCTTGGGCTGACTACTGCTGAGCTTTAAAATCCTGGTAGCCTAAGTTTGTTAACAACACAAACCCCTGCCCCCAGAATTATTCACCCACTCCCATTGTGTGTATCTCACTCTGTCCATCTCTCTATCTCCCCAGAGATTCACTAGTAAACAGGATGTGATTCGGCATTACAACATGCATAAGAAGCGTGATAATTCCCTCCAGCACGGCTTCATGCGCTTCAGCCCCCTGGACGACTGCAGCGTGTACTACCATGGTTGTCACCTGAACGGGAAAAGCACACACTACCACTGCATGCAGGTACCTGCTGGACTGGGGGACAGATGGTGGCACAAGAAGCACACAAAGAAGCAGAGCTGTTGTGCAGGATGTGTCCTGGCTGGGGTCAACTGCAAAGGTCCTGGCACTCAGGCAGCCTCTCACTTCCTTGTTAAGATGTAGGAGGCTCCCCTGAGGCAAATGGGTGTAATCTGAAGTAATAGAGTTTTGATGTCACCTATCTAGACTTAATCCCCAGCTATCCATCTCCTTTGCCAACAGTACTAAAAATTATCTGCATTGTAGATTTTGAGCTTTACAACGAGAGCAGGGCAAGTTTCAACAACAGTGCAACCAAAGTTGGAGTTACTATGTAGATATAACTGTGACCACATTGCTGTTCTTTTGTCAAGGACAGATCTGATCCTTTTGTGCCTCAGATCAGAGGTTTTGGTATGCATTTGCTTCATCAAAATTGTGACCTAAAGTATTGCCATGAAAATGGGCTATAATTACAAACTGAGAATATTCAGATGTTTTCTGAAAGCCTTTTTATTATAAAAACTCAGGTCTCACTTAAATGCTTTGCTGGGTTAGACTTAAGTATATGTTTGACTTGAAGTCAGCTCAGCTTTTTGAAGTCAATGGAGCTTAAGCATGTACTTAATGTTAGGCATGCGCTCAAGTTCTGTCCTGAATAGGACTTAGTTTAAGCATGTGCTTACAAGCTTTTGATGAATTGGGGACTTCATGTGACTTTGGGTTGAGGACATTTTCTGTTATTCTTCCATAATACCCGTTGCTGAGTTTCTTTGATTAACCAGGATTGGATTTGCTTAATATTTTGTAGCATACAATTAATATTTCACAGCTTTTAAGTCGCTGGGAGTTTGAAGAGAGACCCTCGTTTAAAGAGCTATATATGGGTAATTCCATTCCATGCCCACTGTCTTCCAGTAAAATAATGCCCATGTAAGCAGTGTCTTACAGGAAAGGTGTCCGAACATAAACTCCCAATTAAAGAAAATATTGCTTAAATGGCAGGATTTGTGCCATCCATCTCGTGGGGTATTTTTTTCTTTATGTCCATAATTGGTGTGGATAAAATTCAGTTAGTTGTTTATATAAACTGACATTTTTTTAGGCTTTAACACCAAGAGCTGCATTGCGAATTATTCCTAAGGAGGTTTTTGTTTAATTCTTTTTTTTAATGCCGTGCAGTGTCTGTCTTTTTTCAAGGTGTCAGTGTGGAGAGAGAGAGGCTTTTTTATATTGGAAATAGCTGGAGATCCTTTTTATTTTTTTTTTCTGGGTATTTGTCATGGGTTTTGTTATTGCCTGTTTGAATCAACCTGGGCTGAACTGAGAGGTGGTGTTTTCGTTCTCTTCACTTCTGAGATGGTGCAGGCATTGGCACACATTGTGCTAGAGAAGAAAAGAAAAAAAAATCCTCCCTTAGCAGGGCTGAGGACGTTTTCAGATTCCAGTGGTTTTTTACTCAATATGGCAAAGTTGCCCGCTTTGCCCAGAGGAAGGCAGGTTTTCAGCGTTCAGGCTCATCACACCATTCCCATTTGCTGCACAAGTTTAAAACTATTGAATTGATAGTCCAAACAGTGATGGGGAAAAAAACGACACCCACTTTGCACGTATCAGCTGAACATAGGGTTTCTGCTTCAGTAGACTGAAGCCCACTGTTAACAAGCTCAGAAGATCAACCTCATGTTGCACCCCCTAGCCCTGTCTGATAGAAGGATAACTCATTCTCAGTCAGTTTCATATTCCCTAAATGGAAGAATAATTCTCGTAGGAGAAATGCCCAAATGGAACTGTTAAATGTTGTGTGGCTCATACGTTTCTTCTTGTTGCTGTTAATAAGATTGTGGTAGGCTATTAAAATGCTGTGTTGATGACTCCCTGTTTCGGTCTGGGGTAGGTGGGTTGTAACAAGGTCTACACGAGCACCTCTGATGTGATGACCCATGAGAACTTTCACAAGAAGAACACGCAGCTTATCAATGATGGCTTTCAGCGGTTCCGTGCCACGGAGGATTGCGGCACCGTGGAGTGCCAGTTCTATGGGCAAAAAACCACTCACTTCCATTGCAGGTGAGACAGCAGGGAAGGGGAGGAATTCTGCCTGAGAGATGCATAGTCTGTTTGCCTCTTTGTGCCAAGTTGTAAATTCAGGAGTATACGCAGGGACTTGCTTTTCCCTCCGGTGACCTTCTCAGTATCGCTGCTGAGAGAACTCATGCTCCAGGGTGGATGTGATTTCCACGGTCTTACCACAGAGCACTCTGAAGGCAGGAGATTCATTCACTGGCCTGTCTGAGGTGATCTGAGGGAAGTCTGCCCACTAGGAAACATGTAATAGAATCATCTGGGGAAGCTGTTACAGTGCCCTGATGGAGCCCAAATGAGGCGTATTTCATGCTAGAGTTCTGCCCAGCCAGCAGTCAGCCATCCCTTTCAGTCAGCTCATCCCTTTCAGGGCCATACTCTGCCTTCTGTTACACAGATGCTCTTCTATTCATTTCTCATCTTCTTGGGAAGAATGGGAAAGCACACTTTGTACCTCAGTCCCCTTTTAGCTGCTCTTTTGGTTGGAACTTGCAATGTTGGGTGCCTGCTTCCCCGCGTCGTGTTGGCTCTTCTCAGAGTGGAACCAGCTTTCCAGCTCTCTTACATGGCAGCATTTGTGCTTGCCCTGGAATCACAGATTAACCTACATAAGGGTCCTCGAGCCCATTGCCACCAGGGCCACTGTCTCTTAGTGGCCCTAGCCCTTACCCGAGAGGGAGGCAGGTGACAGCAATTGCATTGTGCTCCTAGTTCACACTGCCAACCACCCTCCTCTCCTCAATGCCCTTGCAGGCGCCCTGGGTGTACATTTACCTTCAAGAACAAGTGTGACATTGAGAAGCACAAGAGCTACCACATCAAAGATGATGCCTATGCCAAGGATGGCTTCAAGAAGTTCTACAAGTATGAGGAGTGCAAGTATGAGGGCTGTGTCTATAGCAAGGCCACCAACCACTTCCATTGCATAAGGGCAGGCTGTGGCTTCACCTTCACCTCCACCAGCCAGATGACCTCCCATAAACGCAAGCATGAGCGCCGTCACATCCGGAGCTCAGGAGTGCTCGGCCTGCCTGCCTCTCTCCTAGGATCTAAGGATAACGAGCAAGAGGAGTCCAGTAACGATGACCTCATTGACTTCTCTGCCATGAGCTCGAAGAACTCCAGTCTGAGTGCCTCCCCGACCAGTCAGCAGTCTTCCGTTTCTCTCATCGTCCCAGCTGCACCCTCCTCTGCTGCTGAGCTTGCTTCCTCCCAGGCCAGCAAGCCTGCCAACAGCATGACACCAGCCACCAAGATCTCTGGCCTGCTCTCCCAGGCTCTTCCCAGCAATATACCCTTGGCCCTGGCACTCTCCAACTCGGCACTTCCCGGAACAGCCGGATCCTTTTTCCCCATCATTCCCAGCCGGGTCTCTACACCACTTCCTGCCAGCTCAGCTAATCTGATGACTCCTGGTACTTCTGGCACAAATCCATCATCATCTGCTTCTGCAGATTCCTCATCCCAAGCCATCTCAGGATCTGGTGACCCAGCAGCTACTGCTTCTCCAGCTCCAGCAGCATCTATAATGGAAAGGATCTCTGCTAGCAAGGGATTGATCTCTCCTATGATGGCAAGGTTGGCAGCAGCTGCACTCAAGCCCTCTGTGGCACTTGATGATGATTTGGAGAGGAGCAAAAGTCATTCAGTTGTCCATGGGATTGGAGGGGGGAAGGGATAATAAAGGAACATAAATGGGAGAATTAATTTGGTCATGTCCAGAACCCTTGAAGAGGACAGTCTTGACCTGCCGTCCTGTGGAACCTGGCCTTCTTCTTGTAACCAGAAGAGAGGCACAAAACTCGTTGCTGTACCGCAGATGGAGTAGGCTCCTAAACCAGGTTCTTTCAGACCTGAAAGAGTGGTGGTGCTCTGTGTACCACCTGCTTTGCTGTAGCTTGAAAACAAAGTAGCACTGTATTAAAAAAGGAACTGGAGAAGAGCCTCGGCCAGTCCTTGCAGGCTGTGCAGCAGCCTGAGCCCTCTTTTGCAGGCCCTCCTGAGTTCTGGCGGTGCCTCTGCCTCTTCCCATCTCGGAGGCTAGTTCTCCGCTCCAGCTGTGTCATGCCTGCTGTGTTTTTGGAGATAGTATTGGCACATTCCATAAAACATTGCAGCCCATCAGGTGCTCTCCTCCTGCTGTGCCTTAGTCCTTCACTCCCTTCACTCCTTCTTCTCTATTTCCCTTTCTCTGCTCTGGGGGAGGGAAGAACTTTGCCATGGAAGTGGCCTGCAGCTCCCTCCCTGCCAGCATTGCAAGGCCAGAGCAGGTCTGTGGTCATGGGCAGGATGGGGCTGCCCCGGTTCTTCCTGCCAGAGAGGGAGTAGGACTAAGCGATCTGATTGAAGAGGGAGGGGAACTTTCACATACTTTTAAAATTATTATTTGAAAAATTGTTTCCTAAAGCAGAGAAAGGTCATTGAGGGAACTATTTTCCTTTATTTTTTAATAAAATGCCACTTGCTGTCTGTGAAGCAGCTCGCCGTCAGCTGTACTGCCTGAGGGTAAATTAATATTTTAGTCACTTGGGGATAGTGGAAAAAAGCTCTGCAGACATGTTCCTGTCAGCAACTTTTTTTTCCCTCCTTTTTTCTTTGCTTTTCTTCTTAATATTTTCTTTAATTTGTTTTCTTCCATTTTTTTCTTTTTTTCCTCTTCTTTAGTTTTAATTTCTGTTCCATGTGTTTCGCACAAAATTTTTTTCTCCCCCAAAAAGGAAAAAAAAAAGTCCCCTTTGTGGGGACAACCTGATGGGAGGCAGGTCACGCAGTTTGAACCGATCTGATTGGCTGTCACCTTCGATAGCCCCGATGGGGCAGATGCTCCTGCTGGGCACGCGCAGTGGCCACCCTCACCGTCACTACGGCAACGCTGGGATTGGGGATGGGAAAGGGGGCTTGACTAGCAGTCGAAAGCTGCCACATTGCCTCAGCATTAACAGAGTCTTTAATAAACGCTTAAGAGGCAGCCCCGCAAATTAGTTATGACAGTTTGTGCAGAGAATCAGGTCTCCCCCACGCTCCTTCCGCCCTTCTCCTTTAAAGGGCCCATAGCCTGGACAACTTTGACATAATTCTGCAATAATTATCACTTGAAGAATTTCCACGCTGGAGTGGACGTCAGAACCCATCATGTCAGCCTGGCAATAAATGCTGACCAGCAGTCCTGGCACTTCCCTCCCCCCACACTTTTTCTTTGGTTTTTCCATTTATGCAGTGGCGATAGTCATTTAACTTTTTTATTTGCCGTTGTAACCTTATTTTATACCTCAATTTTTCATGTAGTTTTTGCATTTCATTTTGTCTTTCTCAAGCAGGGAATGGACAACCAACAACTCCCGGACGGTTCAATCCAGTCCAGGTGAAGCAGGAGCCTGTAGAAGCCATGGGATCATTATCTGCTGCCACTCAGGACCCCTTGCAGGAACACAGCTTGGACCTGAGCGTCAAGGATCATGGGTGAGAGAAGCGAGCAGGCAGACACGCTTAGGTCTTTGCAGCTTGTATCTCCAAGAATTTTCTGTATGTGTAGCCTGAGAGGACACAACATTTTGATCAAAGTTAGTCTCACAGTGGCTGAGCTAGATAATCGCAAGCAGGAGCACGGAAGCTCTCCCAGCTCCCTGCCAGGGTGTGTTCTCCTGCAGGTTTTGGGGGCACCTAAACAGCTACTCACTTTCAAACAGAAGTCCTCCCCGTCCGCCTCTTTGCCATTGGCAAACCTCTTGTTTCAGTTGGATCTTTCTGCTGTTGTCATCACCAGTTGATTGAAACTGCTCTATTGTCACACTTCGCTACATTGTAGTAAGAGTGTTTGCACTGGTGTAACAAGGCATCGAATCAGGTGTAAGAGAGGCACCTTCCAGGAGAAACTACTGCGTGCCTTGCTGTGTCTGGCCTGGGTCTGGCATGTGCTTGTCCGTAGCTGTGGTGATGTATCACTGCACCAATGTGAATGCACCCATCTTTAAGCATCTGCCCTAGTTGTCCAGCATTTCTGCTGAGAATAGGAGTATTTGGGGTTTTCCCGTGTGGAAAAGCTTCAGCTGGGATGGACAGTAGGGATAACTGAGCCCAATTTCTTCCAACCCTTTTATATTCTCTACACATTGTTTAGCCAAGCCTCAGTTAAGCACCTCGGCACTTGTCAGCTGGAACTACTGCTGATGTTTGTGAAACACTGTGGTTGCTTTTCACCATGTTTAGCTGTGGCACTGGTAAAACTGGGTTGCCTTGTCTTCTCCTCTGTTGTGGAGAGGGCCTGTGTCTCCAGCACTGTCTCTTTTTTTTGGTGTGTTTTTGCAACCTTCTAGCAGGGTGAAAGACTGAAGCATGGGGTGGGCTGTGTGTCAGCTAGTAAGAAAGTAAGTGTGCTGTGGACACTGGCAGAAGAGGTCTGTACTGTTTAAATGCTGGAAGAACTTAATTCTGGAAACTTGTGACCCTCTTCCTCTCCATGTTGGCTGTTACAAGTAAGAGTTTGACTGGCCCCAAGGGAGGGTGGGCATCATTCTCTTCCTCTGAATACAGCAGGTGAGGAGTGAGGCAGCTTGAAGGGAGAAGAATTAATCTCAGTGCTCACAGTCCCTGCGCACATCTTAACTAAACCCTGTTGGTTTGTGTGTTCCAGTAATGAATCAAATGGCCACACAGTCTCGGCAAATTCATCTCTTTTATCCTCGCTTATGAATAAGGTAAGAGCCATCCATCAAACGCCCTTCATTTCCCCCCACCAAGAGAAATTAAAGCCGCAATGGCGGGGGGGCGTGGGGGGGAGATGCGTTTGTTTTTTAATGTTTTGCCTCTAATAAGATGAGTTTGTACCATTTAAATTTTGAGACCATTTTTCATCGGGTATAATTTCAGAGCCACTGCTTACGAATTAATTTAATGAACTGGCTGAAGAAATATATTGCAGGCTCTGACACCTTTTTTCCCCCTTTTTTTTTAAAATCCTTTCTAGACAGAGGAAGGTTCTGAAATATTTTTTTACCCATTTTTATTTCTAGTACCTGGCAACTTCTTCCTTACTCTCTTTTTATAGTTACTCATTTTATTTATTTACTTCAAACCATTTTCTTTCACTGAGGAGGGAGAAAGGAATCATTTGTTTTTATGAAAGAGAGAATAAAAAAAAATGAAGTTTTGAGCCCAAATCATCTATTTCTGCCTTTCCGGTTTGAGTAATGGTGTCCAGCAGAGCACACTTTTCCATATTCTAGAATATTTATTTTAAATAATGCATAGTTTCTTTTTCCTTACTTTTTTCCTTAAATTATGCATCATCTCAGATATATTTTCCCCTTTCACGTGATAAATTCTGCTCTAGCAAGATTAATTTTTTTGTTGTGTACAACTGCATTAGGAAGCAGGGCAGCCTTTGAGCCATACTATAACATTTTACTGTGTGATGGGTTTTAGAGGCATAACCATTGCCATCCCCTTGGCTCTGGGCATTATATGCACCAAGGCCATATAAACCTCAAGAGGGCAAAGTGGCTTTTTCTTGTATTCACTCACCTCCTTTCTCCTTCATTTCATCACTTTGTTTCAGCATTAATTTCTGTTTTTACCCTTACATTGCTTTTCTCCTCCATTTGCTCTCTCATTACGCTGGGGTTCTGGTACTTCTTTTTAAACTTTCTTCCTTTTTTGTTCCTACATATTGTCCTTATAGGGCTTTCATATATGCAGCTTTTTTGCAGTGAGTAAATATACTTTATCTGTTCTCTGAGTTTCTAAATCCTTTTGAAGGCCCTCAGCCTTAGGAAGATATTTCAATAGATACTTCACTTGAAAATCTTCGGTACTAAATGAGATTTAAGCATATGCTTAGAAATAAGCATTTGTCTGTGTGCAACCCTGCGTAAGATTCTTTATATTGTGCAGAATAAGTGCAGCACAGGTATAAAATAATCTTCAGGTTTGTTCCTTTACAGTAGGAAAAGGATTAAACAGTGACATAAAGCAGCAAAGGACAGAGGCTATTCCAAGAGGAAGGATTGCGTAAACCAGCTCTGTGCTCAGCAACACATCATACTTACCTTTTCCCCTTACTACACATGATTTCTGTTTATAGTGAAATCCTTCTGTGGCATTATTTGTGTATGAAAAAATTAGTAAAACCCTTTACAGAAATGGAATGCCCAGCACCAAAGGAAAAAGATGAGCTAAATTTCTGACTCTCTCCATAAAGAGCTGCAGTCTCCACATAGCAGCAGGGGCTTTACCTTCAGGGGGCATTAAGAGAGCCTCGAATAACCAGGGTTCCTGTAGCGCTGCACAGCTTATTTAGGGGGGCTGTCAGGCTTAATTAGCTGATATTTATAAAGGCTTTGAGATCCTCAAGTGGGCGGAGTTTATAATGCAAGTATTGGGCCCAATCCTGCATTTTATTCATGCCTTGAATTTTACTGTGTTACTAGAGGTAATTGAGAGCAGTAAAGCTGGAATGGGCCTGGGGAGTTGTTGTGCATTTATTACGAAAGAAAATGTTCTCTCTAAGCACTCTTAAGTAACTTCCTTTTTCTGTCCTACACATCCTGTGCCTGAACCTCTAAATCCTCTGTGTGTAGAATCTGTTTGAAGCCTTTCACACAGGGGAGTCTATGAGTCCAAGTCCTGTTTTGCGGGCTCTATATTAACATAGAAAGTAAAGTAATCTATTTAATGAAGTTGTAAGAATTTTCCACGGATTAAAGTGGAGCCAGAATTTTGCCCAAGTAGAATTTCTTGCCTTTTTTTTTTCCCCTCTTTCTCCAAAAAGCATACCTGGTAGTCATTTAAAGAAGGCATTTTTGTGTCTAGGGCAAGATGGTTCTAGATTAACCAGAATTTTCCAGTTCTACTGTTCTCTCTGTACTGAGAGATAAGCATTTTGTAGGCGCTGCGTAGGGTTATTATTGTACTAGCCTGCACAGGAGTCTGTTCACCTTTTCCATATTCATATAGGGCATGTCTTCCTTCATCTCAGTTCTATTTTTAAAACAGACATTGTACTTTGTTACTTTACAAAAGGGCCATGCATATTCTTAGATGGGCAACTGAGAATTTTTTGATAGTTGAAGGATGCAGAAGAGTTAGGTGTTACTAGGTTGTGCAGATTAATTGTCTTCTCTTTTAATCTTTAAATGCAATAGCTTTCCATGGGAGGGTCCTGAGGGTATCCAGTCGGGCAGTGTACTGTTCCCGATGCCATGTCCCTGTTCTTGTTCCAGATGTCCAAGACCAGTGCTAGCCTTGGCAACCTGCGTAACTTGAAGACTGAAGGAGAGGGCAGCCAAGCTGTGGCCGGGGAGCCAACACAGTACTTGGGAAAGGCAGTGAAGGCGCTCGTTCAGGAGAAACTCTCTGAGCCGTGGAAGATGTACCTGCGCCGGTAAGGAAAGCTTTGGACCAGGAATGGGGACAGGGAAATGATTTTCACTGCGAAGTGTCTAGCTCGTGTAGGTCACTTTTGAATGCTGAGTTGTCTTGACTTTTTCTGTGATAACGCTGATCACCTTCTGGAGGGCGTTTAGTCTTCTCAGTCCTAACTGGCCGCAGTACGTATCAAGATTGTACAAGCAGTGACTGTGCAAGTAGAATTATTTTGCAGAGGGAATTAGAGCCGGACGGGAGCACATATCTTCACGTAGTGCTGTTAGCATGCGCTCACCCCAGGCTTCTCTTCCTTTCTCCAGTCTGCAAGTCCTGGAGATCTCTGGAGTGCTCTGAAGCGGGGCTAGACCATCTTTAGGTATTACGCACAGATCACAGAAGCCTTAAAATGCTTGCTGTGAATTTTTTTTTTGTCGTAGGAGTAGGCTCAGAAACCAAATAGGGAGTACAAGGGGTATGGGAACTGCATGGTTTCTGCTGCAAGAACCAATGTTTTTATTATAGACAAGGAGGCTTGAAAGGAAAATGGAACAGATACAAAACTCACCCACACACAGACACATGCACATACGTGCCCAGGCAAAAACATGCTTTGAGCGTACACAGATACACCCAGGCAGCCACATACGGGTTTGTGCTCTGACACAGATAGTTGCCTGCATGTGCCTGTGGACATTTTGTAAATCACAGACTTTGACAATGGAAAAGACTAGAAGGTCTTCTTGTCCATCTGCCCCTGGCCAACGCGAGATGCTTCCCTGCAGACTGTTTGCTAGCATTTTGTTCAGCCTAGTTTTAATTATGCCAAGCAGTGTGGCTTTTTTCTTGTCTCTGGAAGCATTATTCTACCACATAATACATTTCACTGTCAGGATGTGTTTATGGTTTTTTGTTTTTGGGGTTTTTTTTTGTTTTTCTCCTGGTATGCTCCCTGACTATCACTTTTTATAATTTCATTGCTGTACTCCAAATTATATCCCCTTGAACCAGCAGATAATTCCTCTCCTCATTTGGAGTTCACCCCCTTCAAATAGTCACAGACTTCTAGCATATCATTTAACAAAGCTTATTTACTTCTTTTAATCTGACTTTGTAAATTAGTCCCTTCAGCCTGCTGATCCTGTTGCTGTCATCGTAGTTCTATCTCTGACCGTGTGCAGAATTGAACTACCATTCCTTTATCACCACATGAGATTTCAAGAAGCTTCTCACCCCATATATGCAGCCTACAATTGTGCTGACTTCTTCACATCCATGTTAGATTATGTATATCTATTGTTTTTACCGTTCACTGTTCCATTGGATTGCTTGTAACGTTGCTCTCATCTCTCACGAGTTCTGTATATATAAATACTGCTTCCCACCCCCAGATTTATAAGCTGTTTTTTCCCAGATAGGAATCTGTCCTTCTGAGCCTTCCCCCTTGCCTTGCGAGGCCCCTCTGTGTTATTTCTCTCCTCTTGCACTGGTGTTTCCAACTCCTCCCAGTTTAGTATCTTCTGTGAATTTCATTAACGTGCTGTTTACTTCTTCTCCTAGATTACTAATGAAGATGTTAAATAAGCTCAGACCTAACCAAAGTCATCCTTGCAGCATTCATGAGATGCCTCCTCTCAGCTCAGTACATCGCTATTTGTCATTAGGCTTTGTTTACGGTCCTTCAGCCAGTTTTCAATCCATGTAGTAGTATTCACATCCAAGCCAATTTGAATTAATTCTAAGCATATGCGAGACTGTATCAAAACGCTTTACTAAAATCCAAATATATTGCATCCCTTCATCCACTAATTTTGTAATTCTATCAAAAAAAGCAATTAAATTTGTCTGGAGAGATTTATTCTTTATAATCCTGATGCTGTTTATTGCTCATGGTTCCTTTATCCGCTAGATGTTTAATGATTTTCTCCTCCCTCTTAATATTTGTTCCATTACTTTATTGGAAAGAGAAGTTAAGACTAGAGGTATGATAATTGCCAAAGATCACTTGTCTTTTTCTTTTTTCTCTTAAGGAATCATTACCTATCTTAGTTTTGCCAGTTTGCCAAATTCCCTGTTCTCTTTGGCTTAAAAAATAACAAGTAGTAATGCAATCAGTTTCTAAGTTGATTTCCATTGCACTTCTGGGCACACATCATCTAGACTGGTTGATTTGTGTATATTTGCATTTTCTAGCTAGTCTCTGTATGCTGTTTTGCAAGATCCTTATTTCATATATCTTCTCTCTCTCTCTTTTTTTAAATTTTTTTTCTGCCATGACTTCTGTCCAAAAGAGGTTTCAGAGGGGTGCCCCTTCTTGACTCATCACTTCTCTCCCATTTTTATCCGACCTTCTTTCTAAGTATAGTACCTCTTGTCCCTGATAAAACAAACACTTTAGCTTGCATTAACTTGATTTCTTATCTCTTCTCTTATCACACCCTTACTTTCTTTTATCTTCTCCTCGCAAGCGTTAACTGACTGCGTGTATTCTAGATCTGCTGGCCTTTCCCTTTCTCGGTACAACATCTTTTTCTTTTAACCTCAAATTGTTAAGAGGTCCCTCCTGGGACCACACAGGCTGCTGCCTGTTTCTTGCTTTCCTGCTCGTCAGAGCAATTGTAGTCTCTTGCACCTTAATTATGCAAGATTCCCCAGCCAGGGAGTTTTAAATCCTTCCTGCCACTGCTTTTACTTGATATCTTGATTCTCTGTGATTCTGGAATTTCCTGGAATCCGTGCATTCGTGTGGATTTTACTAAGTATGGTGAATCTCAGCAGTGGATTTTTTGGCTTCTTGACAGGTTCCTCTGAGTGGCAAGAGGCACATTACAGATGGCTTTTGCTCTGGTGTCTGCTTTGCAGCATTGTTCCTCCTTATGTATTTCAGGGACTATGCTTTTCTCCCTTTATGTGTATTTAGGCACTTGTTGCCTTATAGGAGATACCCATAAGGTCTCTGCCATGTATGTGGTTTCAGGCAGAGGGGAGTCACAGAATCTAGATTCCCTTGAATCCCTCCCTGTTTTTCCTTTTGTTTTTGCTACTTCAGTAAGTTCAAGCAGAAAAATGGACCAACAGTACTTCAGCAACATGCCGTTGGGCTAGATTTGTCTTACATTACTAAGCTGTGATTGTTCCTCCACTCTAACTTTTGTACCTAGGCACCGAAGAATGCTACTGTTTTTCATAGTTCTGTTTTAGAGTACTTCTGAATTTTGCAGCTACTGAAATTTCTCAGTCTGTTTCAGTTAGAATTTACGTTCTTGTTCTGCATGTTCAGCCCTATGTAACTTGATGCAGAAGTACTGTTTGTGCAGCAAAGACAGTACATGAGAAACCAGGGTAGTAGGAGAATTGGAAAAAAAAAAAAAAAAAAGGCAAGCCATATGTCTCTTCCAAGATTTCTTCTGGGGCCTTCTGTAAAATGCCTGCTTGTCTGATTTGCTCAGGTTTGGTACCAAGGATTTCTGCGATGCGCAGTGCGACTTTCTCCATAAGGTGCATTTCCATTGTGTCGTGGAGGAATGCGGTGCCCTCTTCAGTACCTTGGATGGAGCCATCAAGCACGCCAAGTAAGAGAGCATTAGTCTTGGGAAATGTAGAGGCAGCTCTTAAAATATACCTGGTGCAGGAGACCTTACTAAGCAGTCCTCATTAGGAGTGGGAGGGTATGCGGTCATGAGGGCAGCAGTTGGGGCATCCGCATGCATCCTGTGCCTAGCTGCATTTTTTTCAGAACACGGCGCTCCTCTTTAATTTTTATTGACAATAAATGTGTTCAGTATGTGACAGATTTGGCATGGTTGAGAATTGTGCATTTCACAAAGTGCGCAGAGTCCTTTCTAGGATTTAGTCTGGGCTAAGTTGCTTTCAGACTGCTGCCATGTTCTTGTTCATGGTTAATGTATGCAGTGGTCAGGAATTCATCTCGGAATTGCACTCTTTTTGCAGTTTCCATTTCCGAACTGAGGGTGGAACTGTGAAAAGTAACTCCGAGTCTCCCTTCCCAACTACTGCTGAGGCTAAGGCTTCATTAGCCCCATCGTCACCATCTGCTACTTCGGTCACCATGGCGAGTGCTCCTGGCCTTGACGTGCCCACTCAGAGCCCGGCTGCTGTGCCCTCTGCCCCAACTCTGCTTGCTTGGAAGCAGCTGGCTTCAACCATACCCCAGATGCCTCAGATCCCAGCATCAGTGCCTAGCCTGGCAACTTCACCCTTGGCAACCACTTCCCTGGAGAATGCCAAGCCTCAGGTCAAACCCGGATTTCTCCAGTTCCAGGAGAAGTAAGTTGTTTCAGATGCTGCTTGCCCCTTGTTCCCTCTGCCTTTGCTCTCAGAGCTTATTGGTGTATCGGTACCCACCCAGCCCAGGGGTGCTCTGGTGTTTATCTTGCAGAAAAATTAATTGTAGAAATCTGTAAAATACTTTAGCTATCCTTGGGAGTTTAAAAAAAAAAAAAGTCAGGATTTCTCAGTACATTTGGGATTACTTTCAGATGCAGGTTCTGGAGGAGAAAGACACTTACTGACACATCACTGGAACTTTTTATACCTCTTGAGTGGTGAATAGAAATACATCCGTCTTTGCAGTATTTGTGAGGTTAAAGAGTATGGAGGCAGCATAGCATCTTCGAGGTTTTCAGTGTGAAGCCTGACAGCCATATCCAGATCTTGCTTAAGTTTGAGACTTTATTTTTTTCAGTGAACACTGTTGGGGGAGGAGGAGGGAGTCAGATGGTGAATTGGGAAGAAAGGTGCTTTAACAGGAATGTGTCTACCAGAAGCTTGAGAAATAAGGAGCAAGCATCTGTCACTTTAGGTTTGTTAGCACTTTGCTGTCCAGCTGAACTTCTGTGCAAATGTAATGAGTCTCTGTAACTGTGTCCCCTATTTGTAGCATTAGTTTACGAAGTAATTCTCAAGGGAGGTGCCTGACAGAGAGTAAGACAACTTTTTGTAGAGCTCTGCTGTGAAATTCTTTTAAAACATTTAAGATGTTTCAGAATGCTACTGTCATTTTGGAAACTGTAGTTCCAGTGTAGAGATGGACAGAACAAGACATAAGAGTTAGTGGTTTGCATGAGGCCCCAGGAGTTCATGCTCGGGGAAGGCATTACAACTTAGTTATTCGGGCTGGTGGAGCATATCTCTGTGGGTTATATATTTAAAGGCATTTGCCCTCTTTCAGGTTAGTGTAATTGTGCCCAAGAGTTCCCTTTCAGTTGCTAATCCATTGATGTGAGTACAAGCAGCATCTATCCAGAGCTGAAGAGCTCTTCAATTTGAAGTACAGCTCTCAAAGACTACAGGTCCCACCATGCATTGCTATATCTTAATAACCTTAATCAAGAAAGTGCATTGCTTGCTGGCTTTTATGTAGTAGTGTCTGCCAGCATCAATTTTAGTAAAGAGGAAGGTGGCTATGGGAAATCTGTAGGCCATGTTTGGAACAGAGGCTTCAGCTGGGCTCCCCTTGAGTTAAATGTTGGCAAAGAAACAAATGTGTGAAATGAGTGAAGGTGGTGATTAGATGTTGGATGTATTCCAGTGATCCCTGCCTGGCAACGGACTGCAAGTATGCCAACAAATTCCACTTCCACTGTCTCTTTGGGAACTGCAAGTATGTGTGCAAAACCTCTGGCAAAGCAGAATCCCACTGCCTGGACCACATCAACCCCAACAATAATTTGGTGAATGTGCGAGACCAGTTTGCTTACTATTCACTGCAGTGTCTCTGTCCAAACCAGGTAAGAATAATTCAAGACGTAGTGGAGTAGCCTGAGTATGTGTGTTGGAGAAGAGTAACTAGTGGGCTATTACTGGAGCAAGACTGAGAGTTCATCCCTGGTCTAACCACTGAATCGTAGAGAGTTCTCAATTACTTAAGTCTAGTAAAACATTTGTTTGACATCGAATGGCAAAGACTACTGCTTTACGTATGTATACCTTGGATGAAGTGAACAAGGAAACAAATGGGATAAGAGACATGGTGATATCTCTGATGAATATGGGGGGAGGTGATGGACTTTTCACTCTGGTTTAGGATAGTTCAGTATAGAACAGACAACAGAGCAATACAGATTACCTACCAGGCAACACATCTGCATTGTGCTTCACGGAAGGTGCAACGGATACAATGTGGAAATCAGTTCAGGCCTACCTCGCATTGCGTCAGAGGAAAAGCATTAGGAGCAGGCAAACGAGAATGGTTTTGTTTGCAAAATGCTTCATGTAGCGTGTCTGTTTGCTCCCCGTTAGCACTGTGAGTTCAGGATGCGAGGACATTACCATTGTCTTCGACCTGGGTGCTACTTTGTGACTAACATCACCACCAAGCTGCCCTGGCATGTGAAAAAGCATGAGAAGGCAGAGAGAAGAGCAGCCAATGGCTTCAAGTACTTCACCAAGCGAGAAGAGTGTGGTAGACTAGGTGAGTTCTCTTCTTTCCCCCATCACCCTTCTCATCTTTGCTGTGTCCAGGCTGAGACCACCGTTAGTGAGTCTGCTAGTTATGGTAAAAGTGTATTTGGTTGTTAAATCACAAAGCAAGAAATAGAACAAAGCAGAAATCTGTTGCTAGTCTACCTGGGATGAAGAATAAGGGTTCCTGGTTTCCCAAATAGGACCAAGTTAAATAGAAAAAAGCTACAGCAGTTTTGTGTATGTATTTGTTGGAAGATAAAACTTCCCCTTTGTATTTTTCCTTTTAATCTAATTGTCAAAGGCCTTTTTTGTACTTCGGAGTCTTTTGTGCCTACTGCTTGTCTTGGGCAGAGTTGAAGAGCGCTCTTAGGAGTAAGAAAAGCGTAAGCGAAATGTCTGTTCTGATGAGTCTCTTTGTGTACAGAGAAGTCCTCCTGCATCATTTCCAGTAGCTGTTCAACCTCATTCCAGGCAACTTCAAATGAAGTTTTTTTTTTTTTTCTTCTTTTTTTTGATAGCTATTGCCAGGGCTGCATATTGAAAGCCAAAGGGTAAATACTCTGTCCAAAGATAGAGGTATGGGGAGGGGTGTTTATTAAACTCCTTTCTCTTCCTACCCATTCTCCACAGCCACTTTTTAGTGGCAAGAAAATACAGGACCAGAGAAATACAGTGTTGTTCCTTTATGCAAACCTCCTACTAGAGCGTGGCCGGAGGAGAAAGCTAGGATGTGGCACAGTACTCAGACCTGTCATTTGCCAAAACTATTTGCAAAGCTATGGTACCTATTGAATCCAAGGCCTGCCGATGTAAAAGCTGGTAAAACAGCTGCATAAGAAGAGAAAGCAGAATGAATTACCAGCAGGGTAGCCTAGAGCTTAAAGGCAAATGTTGTGAACTAGGGAGGGGTCCCTAGTGCTGAGAGTGCTCCATCCTGGAGAGTGCTCCATCCTGGACTGCCTGCCATTCACCAGCCCTTTGTGTTTTGGCTCCATCTTCCCTGAGTTGGTCAGCCCTGGCTTACAGGTTTAGCCAAATGGTTCTGCATTTTTGCCCATACTGTCTCTTTCCAAGTTTTTTTTTTTTTTTCTCTCTCTCTAGAATTACAGGAAAACAGCTAACCAAAATAACGAAAGCTGCACTTTACTTTTGCGCTGTGGATACATAAAGACTTTATACCTGAATGGTAAATTGCTTGTGGTAACCCAGGCAATCAGTGTCAACACTCCACAGCCAGTCCCTACCCAGCTCTCATTTGCACATGTCAGGATATTCAGCGCAGTTGCTGTTATTTACTCAACTTTTGGTGTTTCAGGTGATAGCAGGAGCTAGACAAAGCAGGACAGTGATATGTGACACCAGCCTGCAGTGCTGCTGTAGCAACGGGCGAGCCTTCACCTGCCCTTTGCTGATACTGTTTCAATCCCGCCAGCACTGTTTGTTCTGCAGCCCAAAGAACAGCACACGGGGCTGGGGAGGGCAGCTGAGGTGGGGCCGTGGGGGAGTGGAAAACCTAAACAAACACAAACTTGGCGTGCACATAAAACACTATCTCGGAGCTAATGATGGGCTGGGCAGCGCGGAGCCGTTTGGCAGCAAGACGTCTCCAGAGTGTGCGTGTGTCAGCAGTGTTTATTTTGGGAGTGGAGGGGGGTACATGCATCCAGCAGGATGTACCTATGCCTATAGCTTGGGCTTGCCATGCATTTAATGTGCTTTTAGCCAGGGCTGTGTGTTTACCCAGGTAGATACAGACAGGCGTGCTAGGCTGGCGTAGCTGGCTGTGTTTGTGTGGGCGGCTGTGGTTATACCAGCGTGTAGATGCATGTCTGCTTCTCTGTGCAGCTTGCTGCGTTGGGTTAAGGATGTATATAGCAGGTGCAGAAGCACCGGTCTGATTCAGGACCTGAGAGGGTTTGTGTGCGTTCATCTATAGGTATACATATATTTATATATATATTAAAAAATAAAAAAGTGTGCATAAATACATTTATATATAAAGATAGATGGATGTGTGTGCATTTGTTTGTAGGCAGATTTTACTGATCAGTTAAAGGACCTGTCTGCAGCTCTGTTCCTCTGTGAGGGTGTGGACAGGAGATGATGGACACTAGATACAGTAGCAGGATTGTTGATGTAGCTGTGTTTTAATTGTAGTGAGCCCTTATTTATCAGCTACAGAATATAGCTTTTTTAAAAAAAAAAAAAAAAAAGGTTGTGAGTTAAGACACAAACTCTCAGTATTTATGGCAGTAGCAACAAGGAGCAAAATGTGTCAATTGCAGTGGCAGAAAATTTTTTTGTTTGTTGTTTTTAGATGCCAATATTATATAGCAAATATGGAGTGACAATAAGCACTTTCTAGCTCCTTTCTATTTGATTGGAGAGTATAAACTGTCCAGCAGTAGAGCTTTTGGGAGACTGTACTGTCCTAAGAGTACAGTTAAAAAAAAGAAAAAAAAAAAGACAAAAGAAACTTTTTCTGGTCTGACTTGACTGATCATAAACATGTATTTCTGAGACTGGATAACCTGAGACACCACTAGTCATAACGGTACGATGAGCCATAATGGTAACTCTTACTCTTTCATAACAAAAGGATGGGACTAGTTGGCAGCTCACACCTACTTTTTGAATCCACATACATTACAGTCCTTCCTTGCAGTTTCTTAGCAGGTCAGAGAAGATGATTTTTCATGTAGGACTGTTCCTGAAGAACCCACGACCACTGTGGGCAGCAGCCTTGCCCTATGTCCAGAGCATCTCTTGTTCGCCCCTTCTTCCTTTCAGTACTTCTGTGTGCTACATACATCGGTTTTGTGTTTGCAGGTTGCAAATATAACCAGGTGAACAGCCACTTCCACTGCATTCGAGAGGGCTGCCAGTTTTCTTTCCTGCTCAAGCACCAAATGACATCCCATGCTAGGAAGCACATGAGGAGGATGCTGGGGAAGAACTTCGACCGTGTTCCTACTCAGGTGACTCACTGGTTAAGCTGTAGACTTGCACGTAGTGATAGTTCTTTTGGTTGCCTTCTGCAGAACAGCATTAAACACTCGCACCCAACCTCGTCCAGGTATCTGCAGTACAGTGGGGATGTGCAGGTTCACCTGGGCTAGTTCTGACTGCTTTGGCTCCCATTATACTAGGAAAGATGTTGACACACAGACATCAAAGCACTGCTCAGTCCGAACAGCCTTTCCTGGTGAGTGGTAGAGAAAAACACGAGAGGGCTAACACTTCAAGATACTCATATTTATGACCTGTACTCCCTCCCTGTTCTCTCAGTATACACCAGTTGGCTTATTAAAATGGAAGTGCTTAGGCCATGGAGGAATTGACCATTTTGGTTAAAGTAAACATACCCTGTTGCACACGAAAAAAATATTTGCTGCTGTCACCTAGAATGGAAGAAATACCAGCCTCAACATTTCTCTTGCTTGATTTGGAGTTGAGATAAATTGGGACTTTTTTGTCCTTTCTCAGAAAGTACCAGGGCAACATAGTTGCTTTATTTTTATAACATAACTGAAAGCAACTGGCAGATTAGGTTTGGTCGTGTTTTGTGAGTAAATTGAAGAGTTTCAAAGAGTTTCAACTGCAGCACAGAGCTGCTGCTCAGAATGGTAGCATTCTTGCAACCTCCTGTTTCTTTCTTCTAATTCCTTAGTTTAGGTTCCTCATTGACCTGGAATATGAAACAAACTAGTTTTATTTAACCTCCTGTGGCTAGCCTGGCCCTAGGGACATCTTTTGGTATATGAAAAACAAAAGCTGCAGAAGTAAGATGGGAATCCCCTTTCATTCTACCACATGGGAATGGGAGGTCCCTGCTGGTTGTCAGGTACTTTCAATAAGTTAATTGTTCAGGTTCGCTGCTGTTGGATTTAATGAGTTTGCTGTGTGACATGCCAAGGAATTGGTGTTACTGTTGCAGTAGCTTTAGCAGAGGCTCAACAGATAGTTTTGTCTCTGCTATATGGCTTTAAAAATGTTTAAGGCTTCTAAAGTGCTGAGCTGAAAAACAACTAGTTTTGACCTTCATCTCCATCACTGGACATTCTGTGTCACTAACAGCAGAGAAGTAGTCGTCATTGTCAAAGGAATCCTGGAGCAAACAGTGCCAGTCTGCAACTGTTGCTGTGCTTAGCCCGTTCAGCAGTCCAGCAAATAATAAAAGAGGCTGAAAGAGCAAGTTGGGACATGTGGCAAAGCTAACGTAATTGTTGCAGTGCCACTGCCTTTCTGCAATTAAAAGTACTAACCCCAGTTCTTCTGGCAGCTTGGTGGTCAGTAAGCACTTACCATGTGCCTTTGTGGAAATCCTCCTTGGGTCTTAGCCGTGTTCCTACCAGAGGAGACCGTGTCGTGCCAGGCTCCAGCAGCTGCAGGTGTGCAGAGCATGGCAGGAGACACACGGAGGAGCATGGCTTTCAGGCGGCGTTCCCTGTTGGGATGTATCAGCACGCAGGCACTAGGGCACTCATGCCAGTAGTTATATTCCCAGTCTCTAAATGCAGCAGGACCTACACAGTGAAGTAGCAATGCCAAGATTAACACCTCCTGTTTTTGAATGCATCAGAATCCACACACCAGGATATTGGTGCCAAGATTAACACTCCCAGCCTCTGAATGCATCACAATTCACATACCAGGATGCGCGTGCCAAGATTAACACTCTGAGCTCCCAGTGAAGCAAAACTCATGCTCCCAGCCTCAGTGCCATAGATTCCACTTGCAGGCATGTTCCAGCTATCCCCCAAGAACAGAGGCAGAGAAAACGTGCAGACAGATGGTTTTGGTCTTGGCATCTTGCTTTTGGTGTGAAAGTCCCCGTCCTGTTTTCTTGCTGCAGGTTATTGGCCACACTCCAAGAAATGAAAATCTCCCCCATGTTGGCAGCATGGCACCCAGCCCAGCTTCATCAGGAACCCCAGCTTCCTTTCAGGGACCCCAGAGCATGATGGACACTGAAACAGATGAGTACATGGATTATACTGGCTGTAGCCCTGGAGGGATATCCTCGGAATCTTCCAATATGGACCGCAGCTGCTCCAGCACTCCAGTGGGCAATGAAAGTACATCAGCAGGTAATAGAGAACGGAGGGGAAGTGGATTATCAGTTACATGTTCTCTTGAGAGAGAAACTCATAAAAAGAGGCTAAAGCAAACAGCACCTTGAAAATACAAGCTGCACCAGTTCAGCTTTAGACCTAGTAGTGCCTTGTACTAACCCAGTTCCCAGCCATTATATGCAAGAGGAGCTCCATCTGAACATACACCTCAAGGGTCCATGAACTAATAGCATATCTTGCTTTCCACGTAAGGAGAGGTTTTTATCATGTATCTTGGTGTTGAATCTATTTGAATAACTGATCTTAAAAAAAAAAAAAAAAAAAAAAGGTGTGGAGCATTTTTTCCTGGCATTTTCCCAATATCCTTTTGTATTTCTTTGCGCTTCCTCTGAAGTCAGGCATTTTCCTATACTCTTGAGGTTCAGAAAGACTGTACAGTACCAAATACACAGGGACAGGGAGAAACTACTACATCTTCAGAAAGCAACACGTGAAAGCTCACTGACCTCCTTTCCTCATACAAAAGACTCAAGCCTCTTGTGCCATTTTGTGCAGTGCTGCACAGAGGAGAGCTCCACCATCCCCCTTTCTGGCAGTCAGATCTCTCATTGTTTCCTGTTTGCAGGACCACTGAACAGTCATCTCCCTCGGCCCTGTGGTACATTTAGCTTCTCAGCAGCCAAATGTGTGTTAGGAGTTAGTTCTGTATCATCTAGTGGTGACCCAAGGATCTCTTGGCTGTCCTTCCCAGAGTTAGATGTTGCATTCTAGCAAGGCTGCCTCTGTGAGTTTGCTTTAATTTCAAATAGATTTTCCTACTTGTCCTTCCCACATCAGATAGATAAAGGTTGTCAGGTAACACATCTCCTTAGGCAACCTTCATATGAACGCTGCTGGATCATGATAGTGGTTCCCCTGTGGCGTCATAGTTCCTCCAAAGAGTTTTTGGTGGGACAGCAGTTCCTGTCTGCTGACTCTGCACTGTCAGCACACTGTCCGAGTGCCACCTCCAAGGGCATGTCCCCCACTGCTGGCCATGGAGCGAGGGATCTCATGTGCCCAGTGCCCCGGGCCCCCCTCACAGCAGTCAGTTGATAAAAGCTGCTCCATATCAGTGGGGCCCAAACAAGCAGGAATCGCTGGTTGGGAGACTGTATCTCTTCCCTCATGCCACTAAGGCCCCTCCTCACTTTTGCAGAGATACCCGTCCTCTTCCTGATGCTGTCAGTTCCTCACCTTCCATTTCCTCTCCGTTACAGTTCCGTTTCGTACATTTGTGAATGTATTTTCCATTTTCATCATATTGCTTCCGCTCTTGGGTTCTCATTTCAGTTCTTTTGTTTTTCTTTTTTGTTTGTTTTTTTTTTCCTTTTTTTTCTGCCTTTTTTTTTCTCTCCACATTCTCCAGGCTGCCTGGTTCCTTCTACTGCTACCGCTGCTGCCGAGGATGCTGCCCACAATGCACCGCAGCCTCAGCCACCACCTCTGCCTCCATCTTTCTCACAAGCCCTGCTTAGGTCTCCCCTTCCCACCCTTCCCTATCTCTTCTCTCCATCTTGTCTCTCATACTCCCTGCTCAGTGCCACGCTGGGATCCAGCAGGGGCATTGTCATGCCTGCCGCCAGCACCGCTGGGTTCTCGCCCATCATTGCCACTCCAACTCCAGTAAAAAGTGACGTTCCCTTAGTTCAGGATGCAGCAGGTAACAGTTCTTTGCTTTCTCTCTTAGTATTCCTTGCCCACCTCCTCCCCCACTCACCCTGCCCATGGTTTTCTCTGCTCCCCGGATTTCCTCTGGGCCAGTAAAGAAAAGCATATGTCACTCTGTTCTCATTTAACTTTATTCAAGGGCCCTCTATGCCTACTGCATTTGACTGTGGACACAGTAATACCAGCTGGTAACCATAAAGCTAAGGAAGGTAACTAAAAACATAGCAAGCCATTGTGAAAAGTCAGAAAGCTACAAGTAACTTCCCAACAATTCCAAACTATGACAAAAAGAAACTAACAATAAAATCTGTAGTTAACCCTCACTCTTAGCTTCTTTACAACAGTGGGACACAATGCAGACTCTTGACCAGGTAGCATTAATGGGACTTGGCCTTTGGGTTTAGATCTTCTAGGCTACCAGGCTCGGTGCTAGCACAGTGCTGCACTCATCTTGGTGGGTAAATGGCTGACAAAATACCTGGTTCCAGGATTTGTACTGGTCCTCTCAACTTCTCTGCTTCCTGTTGCTATATAAAGCCATAAAAAACGACGGCTGCTTTTCCCAGCCCAAGTAACAGAGACAGGGCAGTCCGGTGTCATGGTGGTGACATCATCAGCCATCTCAGGCTGTTTCTCACACTCACCATTATTTGCATCTGCTCCCAGCTGCAGCAAATACATCTAGATTTTTTTAGTGTTAAGCTGCCATGTGTGACTAAGATGAGAGATGTCTCAGGCTGGGGAGTCTCATTCCAGCTGGGAATGTTTTTTAGGGTGTGTCTCAGTTTTGGCCTCTTTTCCCAACTCCGGCTCTTTTCTAGTTAATTAAGAGCATATTTATGCTTAAGGTTCACATTTAGGAGGATTTTGGCAGCCTATAAATGTCCCACTCATTCTTCCTGCCAGTTTCAGTGTGTGCATGTGGTAATGCACAAATCCAAGGTGAATGGTGAGGACTATGGCTGGAGAACCAGCTCTCCTTGGAAGTAAGTTCAGCGTTTTTTGTCATAGGACTTGGCAAAGGCTGGAGAACCAGCTCTCCTTGGAAGTTCAGTGTTTTTTGTCATAGGACTTGGCAGGAGTAGGATCCTTGCCCTGTTCAGAGAAGTAAGTTTCAGTGAGCCAAACAGGACACAACAGATTAGGCTTTGATTTGCTTTTAAACTGATTTGCATGCAACCTGAAACACTTTTGTGCCATGCTTTCCTCTATTTATTTTCTTTTAGGTTTCCTTTTTTTCACCTTTAGGTTTTAAAATGGCTTCCTGAATTGTCACATCATTAGTAGTTGACAGGACAAGCTTAAGGCATGCACTTACTATTGAAATTTGCTTGGGATTAAATCTGTTGAGGCTTGTAATCTTCACTCAGCTGTTTAGGGACTGAGCATCGTCTAGTGGCTAGAGGAGGAGAGGAGAGGTTCCTCTTTCCTTTTTTCATACCGTGCTCTGAAACTCTGCCTGCATGAGAAAAGACAATTGTTTAACAAAACTTTCAAGCACGTGTATTTGAACTGTTGTAAAAGCTAGTAGATACCTTGTTACAATTTAAAACAGTTTAATTCCACTTATTCCCTGTTTTTTTTTTGTCCGGAGTCTTGTCTCTAACATGTTGTTCTCATTCTGGTGTCTGAATGTAGATAAGATTTGCATCGTACTAAAGAGACCTGATGGTTTGGCTGTAATAATTTTCTTTCTAGAAGGAGGGGTAAGGAATTGATCTGGATAGCAGGCAACGATGTCTAGGCAACAGTGCCCTTGTTGCTTGGATGCAGAAAACAAGATTTTACAATAGAAAATGTTTTGGGGGGAGCAGATAGTAATTGGTCACAGATTCTAAAGCTAGGAGCTTGCTAATTTGAAGTCTACAGCGATAGAAAGTTACTCCTTCCCTGATGCAGGTTAAATTAGCCTTAACACTGCTGTTTCCACCAGCTGCATATCAGTAAGATGGTCTCCCCGTGGATGCCAAAGCTTGCTTCCTTATTTGCAGTCCAAGCCAAGCTCATTCACCCAGCAATCTGTGGAAACCCCATGAACCAAACACGTTGCTTAGGCTGCTGCTACCCCTTCTGTAGCCTTGCATCTTTTAGTACAGTGTCAGTTTAACTTTTGGGTAATCACCACCTTCTCTTAAAAGGTTGACATTTGAAGGGCCAGATATGGCAAAACTAGCATCCATCACTTTTAATACCTGCTTATCAGCCAGAAAAAATAATTCTACAACATTCAAACAAACAAATGACTGCTTCATTCTCCTAGACAAGGATGCAAGCTAGTCTGGATTCTTGAGCCCCAGGCACTGCATGTCACAAATCATGCCTCCTTTTAACAGGATGGCAGTTCCAGCATGAAGATGAAAAAACAAACATTCCCTTTCTCTCTCCCCACCTCCCCCCAAATGTCTTAGCTGCAAACTATAATTTCCAGTTACACTCACAGTTTTGCACTTGGTGAGAATTTTTCCTACCTCCAACCTTCTCTGTGTTGCACGTTGATACTGGAGGTTGTGGTTTGATTCTGGAAACAGCAAGCAGAGAAGAAACAAAGTTAATAGATGTAATGGGGTCAAGTCCTTGATGTCAGCTTGATCCTAGGGGATGTCAGCACTAGTCGATTATGCTGGCCCCGTGAACGAAACTGGAAAATAGATGAGGGCTCTTTATTTACTAGGGGCATTGTGTGATTTTTGAGACCCAAGGGAAAGCTGTAAAACTGGTATCTTGTCTCAGAGTTTGCTGGCTAGTGATGATGAGAATTAGCCCCATTGAACATCTGTCCATCTGTCTTTCTAAGTGCACTCATTGTAATATGTAGGCTCATTACAGTGAGGGATGTTCCAGTCTCCTGGCCAAAGTCCATCCTATTTCTATAAATCCCTCCCCACACACTTCAGTCGTGCATGGGGTCTTCCTTGACTTCTTGCCTGTCCTTGGCAGTTGTACTTATGTACTTTGTCCAGTTTATGAAGAGCATGGGGAGGGGAAAGCAGTACCCATGTACAGGTTGTAGAGCACGAACAAGTTTGACACTTCTATTTCAATAAAAGTGTAGTAAAACACCTCAGGCCTTTCTTTAGAACAAGCCAGCTCCTCTGTGTCGAGAGTAGAAGTAGAGATAACTAGAAAAGGCTGTGAGACTTGCAGAACAGAGAAGCAGCGGTTCCTATTTGGACAATATTGAGTACACAAGACTGACAAGAGGCAAGGTGGAGTGTGCTCAAAGCTGAGGGTGTGATTGATGCACAGGCAGCACATGAGCCAGAGGTCAGGCTTGCCTGGAGCTTGAGACATGAGCCGCGGGGTGGGAGCAGTCGCGGCGCTGTGTTCAGGGCTTGCCAGGATGGTTAGAGGAGATGAACAGCAATCTTGCTGTCTGTCAGCAATCCCACTCTCCCTTTTTCTCCTCAGGGAATACCATCACTATGCCAACTGCCTCAGGGGCCAAGAAGCGTTTCTGGATTATTGAGGACATGTCCCCATTTGGCAAGCGCCGTAAGACTGCATCCTCGCGTAAGATGCTGGATGAAGGGATGATGCTGGAGGGATTCCGCCGCTATGATCTCTACGAGGACTGCAAGGACTCCAGCTGCCAATTCTCGCTCAAGGTTACCCACTACCACTGCACACGGGAGAATTGTGGCTACAAGTTCTGCGGCCGTACCCACATGTACAAGCACGCCCAGCACCATGACCGTGTTGACAACCTGGTACTGGATGATTTCAAACGCTTCAAGTCTTCACTGAGTTGCAACTTCCCAGACTGTCAGTTCTCGGGCAATAGCACACACTTCCACTGTCTGCGTTGTGGCTTCCGCTGCACTGACAGCACCAAGGTGACAGCCCACCGTAAGCACCACGGCAAGCAGGACGTCATCAGCGCTGCTGGCTTCTGCCAGTTCAGCTCAAGCGTGGACTGTGAGGTGCCTGACTGCAAGTACAAACTCAAGTGCTCCCACTTCCACTGCACCTACCCTGGTTGCAAACACACAGTGGTGGGGATGTCTCAGATGGACTCACACAAGCGCAAACACGAGAAGCAGGAGCGGGGGGAGCTTCCTGCCATCTCTCCTGGTCCTGAGGGCCTCGCTCCCTCCACTCTTGAGTATGACATCCAGAACTCTTCCATCAACCTGGACAGTTCCCTCAACCTCAGCACTGACAACAACAGCTCCCTCTTCTTCCTGCAGAACGCAGCTGGCGTGGGCCTCAATGATTCCCTGGACCTCAGCAAGAAGCAGCCAGAGGTCACTGAAGGGCCCTCACCAAGCAGAGCTGGGACTGCCTCTCAGGAGAGGGGGGCAGTGGCATCTGGCTCTGGTGATGTGGAGGATGAGGATGAGTCTTCCCAAGAGGATGAGGAAGATGATGAGGAGGAGATGAATGAAGAAGAGGAGGAGGATGAAGAAGAGGAGGAGGATGATGACGATGATGAGGATGATGAAGAGGAAGACCTGAATACAGATTCTGAAGAATCACTGCCTGACCCTGAGGGCCTGGCCACTAAGGAAGATGGGGAAACAGAGGAGGCTGCTTCTTCCACAGACCAGGGTGATGCTTCCAGGTCTCAGGGCGAGCCAGCCCCAGCCCTCACTCCAGCCCCTGTTTCCACTTCAGCTCCAGCTGCTGCCGCAGCCTCTACCCTTGCTCCAGTGGCATCTCCTTAACCTTACTGACAGCAGCAGCAGTGGTTTGGTTTTGCTCTTAAACAGAATTACTAAGAGGACCCCATATGAGGCAAGAACAAAGATTGGAATGGCAGGTGAAAAAGCAAACTCCGTGCCACAGGAGAGAGAGAGGAAGGAAGGAAACCCATGTTCCACAGGCCCCGTAAGAGACAAGTCGCAGCAGAACTGGTGCTGCATCACTTCATTCTGCACATCACAGAAAATCAGGGCAAGTTGCAGCAAAAAATTACCCTTTCCTACAGACATGAACCTTGAGGGTGTCGGCTGCTTTTCCTTGCCCCCTGTGTGGTGTGTGGGGCCTGCACCCATCTGGGGACCCTTCACTATGGGTGGGTTTTTTAGCCCCCCCATTTTTCTTTCTGTTTTTTTTTCCTTCTTTTTTTTCATGTTTTCAGTTGTACAATATTAATAATAATCTCCACTTCTTGGAGGGGGGGGGTGGGAACAACAGGTAATGAATTTTAGAAATATATATTTATGTGTGTGTCTCTCTCTCTATATATATATAATGTACACACACACACACATATATAACATGCAAGAAATTGGTGTCACAAAGACAACTAGCTTTGCTTTTGCCAGTGGGAAGGAGGGGTGAGGGATGTGCTCGCTCGCTCTCTCTTTCTCCCTCTCTCTCTCTCTTCTTTCTCCAGCATTAAATGAATGGCATCAGACAGCAAGGGTGGGAGTGGGTATTTATTGTCACATAAATGAGGACGCATTAATGAATGAGCAGGGGTGGGAATGGGACACTCCTCTGTTCTTCCAGATCCTTTTTACTATTAATGATAATAATTTTGAATGCTATTTATATTGTGAAACTTTCTCTGTCTAGTGCTGTAGGACATCTTTCCCCTTCCTTACTCTGCTGCCTGTAGGGCTTAGCTGAAGTAAGTGGGAGGGCGCAGCAGGCAGTGAGAGGGTCAGTCACACTGGAGAACTGGGGCTAATCTCCCATCCAGTTCCATCTCATCCCAACCCCCAGGTGCTTCCCCTCTGTTGAGGGTGAAGCTTTTTTTGTGGTGCTTCAGTATCCCCATCTCAGGAGGACTCAGCGGAGTCGGGAGGTGTGCGCTGCCCCTCTGCGCCGTGTGTAGCATAGGAGCACGGTGCTCCAGGGGTGCGTCCCAGCCGTGGTAACTACTGCTTGCTGACCCCAGCAGCCTTGCCAGGACAAGACCCTCCTCCCCATCCTTCCCCAGGGCAGGCGAGTCTGGGCTCCCGCTCCTGTCACCGGTGACTTACAGGAGAGGCTGACCCCACGGAGAGGCAGGAGAAGGCAGAGCCCAACTCAAGGTGGTCATGAGCCCACAGCTGGACTTCCTGCTCAGACTGGAGGGACAGGGGGTCCCCTTCGTTCAGCACTAAGTGGGAGGACTGTTGTGCAGCCCAGGTGCAGCATCGAGAATGCAGAGGCTGGGGGAAAAGATGCCCGTTGAGGCCAGACTGTAGTTCAGCTCAGGTAATGCATCCCTGGCTCTGTGCTGATGAATTTTGCCAGGTAGGACTAGGAGCTTGGCACATGGTGGGCAGCTGTAACTCGCTTGCATTCAGCCCTGCTGCCTGTGGTGCCTGGGGCCCTTCCCCTGCGCCCTCTTCCTGGCCTGGGGACTCGCCCCACAGGAGGCCGTCCTGCAGCCAGGACAGTGGCTGATGACCAAAATCCTCACCTGAGTCCGAGAGGGGTGAGCTGCGTGCACGAGGGCTGCGGAAGACCTCGCAGGCTGAGTTAATCCCGAGAGCAGTGATTTCAGTGCCAGCCTGCCAAAAGGTTCCTTGTGTCTGAGGCTTGTCACATGCATCTGCCCCCCACCCCTTTAAAACTCTAATTCCTTTTTTCTGCCATCATGCAGGCACCCCCCCACACCCCCTTTAGCTCCAAGGAACCCCCTCATTTGTTCCACCCTAAGCAGATACAGGCCTGAAGGAGTTTAGGTTGTTTTATGCCTCCCCCTTCCAGAAGCTGGTGCAGATCAGGTCTGATTTATAAACAAGCAACTCAGCTGTGTCAGTGTGGGGACAGACATAATGTTTCAAAAGGAAAGGCAAAAAAAAAAATGTACAGTATTTTTTCTGTAAAGATTATTATATAGAGAACAAAAGAGAACCAATGCCAGGGGGTGGTGGGGGGAGGTCACCTGCCTTCTGGATAGCCCCTAGATACGGTTAATTGTGTGCAATTTTTCTTTTTTTTACTTATTTTTTTTTCTTTTTTTCTCTTTTTTTTGTTTTGTGTGTGTGTGAGTGTAGGGGGTTGGCAGGGGAGGGGGGAGCCTTAACGCTATGGTTTGAGGCTGACGTCACACTCCTAGCACTGACTGGAGCTGCACGATTCCGAATTTTAACTTGAATTTTGTAGGAGATAAATGAAAGCAAAACAAATGAAATATTGTTATTACTAGTTTGTAGTCTATTTAATACTTTGGAGTTCTTTTGCTCTATCAGTTATTGTGTGGCTTTTATTTTATTTTTATAGGGTTTCATTCTTTTGTTTGTTTTTGTTTGGTTATTCCCCTGCCCTCAGCTGTGTGTTTTCTAGCACAACATGTTTTTTGAATATAATGAGGCAGAGTGAGGGCATGAGGGCCTGGAATTTGTAGAACTGAGATGGGGCAAAAAGACTGTACTTTAATGGCATTTGCTACGGGTTCTGTATACTTGTACATTTTTCCCATATTCAAGTATTTAGATACTATGGTGATGGGCTCCAAGAGGCGCATCTATTGACCTAACCTAATCCCCATTTTGCAAAAAAATAGTTTAATTTGTAGCAGTGACATCAACATGATCTCCATCACGGACTTTGTGGGAGCAGGATCAAGCCCACTGCCTTCAACACAGCATCCTGCAAGCGTTAACTGAAACCTGCCTGTACCGTGGCGGGGACGGAGGGCGCTCAGTGGCAAGATGGGGAGCTCATTTCGGCCGCTCGCTCGTGTCCAGAGCGGCCTGCTCGGGATCTTGCCCTGCTGATTTGAGCTGGGAACCAGCACCATGACAGAGTGTTTTTACCCCCTCCCCATTTGTGTCTCAGACTCTGACCCTTCACAAGATGCTGGGGAAAAGCAGAAGTGTGTGGAGGAAAGGGGTAAAAACAGCTGCAGCAGCCCTGTAGCTCCGGGGCCGCCCGCGCCGCGCTCGGAGCTGCCCAGGCGCCCGCCGGAGGGGCTCTCTCTATCTATGCACACACCGGTTTCTCCCCCAAGGCCCCCCTGCTTCCCCCTGACTTCCCGGCCTTTCTCCCAGACCTTCACCGCTCCAGCGGGAGCTGCTGCAGGGAAGGGTTTTTCTTTCCCGACAGGGTGCAGCCCCGTCTGCCCCTAAGCTGGGCCTGACCCCCAGGAGGTTGAGGCCCCCCAGGGCCGGGCGACTGGGGCAGCCCAGAGGGTCTCCCTGCGCTGGCCCTGCCCTGAGGCTGCTGCTCCACTTCTATAAATCCCTTACTATGTCTGTATTTGCAACAACAACAACAAAGTCAAGAAAGTTAAACCCTTTTTTTTTTTTTTTTTTTTTATTCTGCCATGTTAAGGCTTTAATTCAGCAAAACTCTTAAGCACACGCTTTCTGAATAGGCAGAGATTTAAGCCCCTGCTTAAGTGCTTTCCTGAACAACAGCCCCACAGCACAAATCCCTGTTTCGGTGAGGTGGGGTTTTTATTCCCACTTCGAGCTACCATATCAACAGGACTGTTAATACTATGGAAATGCGTGTTCAGACGAATGTTACTAAAGTAAGGACCAGAGAAAGAGAGAGCGATTCAACCAACTGTATTAGGAGGGGGAAAGAGGAGAGAGGAAGTGGAACTATTCTGTCCAAAAAAAAAAAAAAAACACACAAACCTTGAGATGGACCTTCTGATTCTGCTACCATTCACTACTGAAGAGCAAAAAAATAAAACTTTTGACTAGATTGTTCATTCTAGCCACAAACTCAACTGGATTAAAGTCCGTGTGGAAGGAATTTTGTAAAGAAAAAAAAAAAAAGATTCTTTTTCCAATGTAGCAAAAAAAAAAAAAAACTTAAAAAAAAAGAGGGAGAATTCTAGCCTTTTGTAATATCCATATTGCACACTAGGACTATAAGCCATTGCTAGCTCATTTTGAATTTTAAATGTGTAATTTTTTGTTTTGTTGTTGTTTTATTTTTTCTTTCCGTGGGGGAGGGGGGAAATAAATGCTTGAACCACCAATGCTCTTTTTAATGTTTTATAAATATGTATGTGTATATATATAAATATAAAAATAATATGTATGCACATATATATGTGTGTGTGTATATATCTATATGTATATACATATATATAGATATATAGATATATATATAGGTTTTGAGACAAAAATGCAGAAAGTGAAAAAAAAAAAAAACACCCTAAACAGGATGGTGTGCTCTGATTTACTTGAATCTGGTCTCTTCAGCACCTGCGTTATTAAGAACTGAATATTTTTCCACTTGAATTTAGTGCTATTAGAAATTTAATATATGTGTTTTATTTATTTGATTTTTTTTGCATGACTGATGCAAGGTTTGACATTTTCACTCAATAAAAACTGGAAAAAAAACTAAAATTTCAAATGAGCGAGTTGTCTTCTTGATTGAGGAGCTGTTTATTTTTTAAAAATCTAACAAGTCTGGGAGCAGACAGTGATGGCAACTGCCAAAGGAAGCAGGATCTGCCTTCCTGGACTCTGGTCTCACAAACTTTTAGGCAGCCCTGTGTTTTTATTTGAAGTGTTCCCTGGGACAGGATGGAAGTGACACTCGTGCCTTCATGGCTTGCTAAACTGGGACCTGGAATTATGGATGTGCCTGCTTGAGTTTTCACTTTCCCTTTCCTCCCTCAGCCTGCAAATTGGGATCTGCTTGGGAATTCTGCTCGCTGTGCCCCAGCAAAAGCTTCGTTACATTCCAGCCCTGCTCAGTGACCTTTCAGCAGCCTAAGTCTGGGTACAGGCTAACAAAAAAAAAAAAAAAAAAAAAGACAAACCTCACTTGTTCACGAAGGGATAGAGATGGGGTGGGAGGATTATCCAAGAGCGGAGGTTGTATGCCAGGTGTTAACACTAAAAGCCACCAAAACACCATCTTGA